TAAGAAAATTATAATACTTATATTAAAAATAATGTTTTAAAATTATATATAAGTATATTTATTAATTAATATAAATTAAAAAGTAAAAGTAAATATTTTTATTTTTATCTTTATTAATAATATTCTTTTTAAAGTAATATTTTTTAAAAAGAAATTATAAAAAAAGCATTATTTATAATAATTTAATAATATATTATATTATCTTAATAATCATTCTTATTTTTATTAAAAATAATTTTTATATTAAGTTTTTTATATTTTATAAAAAATATAATATAATTAATATTAATAGCTTTATAATTAAAGTATTCTACTTATATAAAATATTAATTATAATATTATTAATATTTTACTTATATAAAATATTAATTATAATATTATTAATATTTTATTAAAAGGTAATTTAAAAATTAATAATTAACTTTATTATAAATATAATACTTTTTATTTCTTAAAGTATTTTATTAATTATTATAATTAAAGCTTTTTTAATTATATTTTTTATAATTTAATAACTTATTATTTTAATATTAATAATTAATATAATACATTTTATTTCCCTTATTATTAATACTTTAATTACCTTTATTATAATATTAATTAATATTATATTAAAAATTAAATTTAAGAAAAAATCTTAATCTTAAAAATAATACTTTATATAAATACTTAAAATTAAAAAATATATATTAAAGTTTTAATATACTTATATATATATATATAATTATTATTTATAAGAAATTATTCCCTTAATAAAATATATTAAATATTTATTAATATAATTATAATTTATTAAATAATATAAAAAAAAGTTTTTTAAAAATATTTATTAATATTCTTTAAATTAATATATATCTTATTAAATATAATTAAGATTTAATTATAAAAATATTATTAATAATTAACCTTTATATTAAATTAAACTTTAAGCTTTAAATATATATTATAAATAAAAAAACTTATATTAATATAATAAATATAATAAATTTTAATATAATCTTTTAAAATTAAGAAAAATATTATATAAAATTATTTAAGTTTAATATTTATTATTTAATAAATATTAAAGAAAATCCTTATTTTATTATTTAATAAATTATATAATTTATTACCTTAATTTTTATTTTTATCTTATATTTTATTAAATTATATATTATTATTAATATTAAATAAATTATTCTTTACTTTTTAAAATAATGAATCTTAATATAAATTATATAATTATAAAGATTTTAATATTATAATAAGTAATAATATTAAATATAAAGTCTTTATTAACTTTTTTAAGGAAATGCTTATAAATTATCCCTTAAATTATAAAATCTTTAAGTGTTTTAATAAACTTAATTTTTATTAAAATAATATTTCTTAATATCTTAAAAAAACCCTTATATTTAATTAATTAAGGATTTCTTTTTTATAAAATAATAATTATAATACTTATTATAAGAAACTTAATTAAATAAAGTTTTACTTTAATTTTATAAATAATTAAAAATAAGAAAATTATAATTTTTAAAATTCTTTATTACTTTTAATAAAAAGAAGTAATTATTTTAAATTTTTTTTAAAAAAAGTAAAAGTTATAAATAATAAAACTATATTAAAAGCTAAAATATTTTAAATTTCTTAAATAATAAATATTTCTTAAGTATTTATTATTTTTAACTTTTAAAATTAAAGTTATTAAATATAAAACTTAAAAAGTTTATATATATTATTTACTTTATATAATTCCTTTTTTTATTATAAAAAATACTTATTATATATAAATAATACTTTTAAATTAATATATTGCTTATTAATACTTTCTTTAATATTAACTTTTTTTTCTTAAAGCAATTTCTTAAAGTTTTAAATAATAATTAACTTTTAAAATATTATTATATCTTAAAAAGTAAATCTTTTATAAAATATTAAAGTAAATTATTATTTATATTTTAATATTTTATTATTTTTTTATAAATTTAAAAATAGAAATATTTATTTAATTAATTATATTATTTACTTTTATTATTAATTTATTTTAATAATTAAAATTAATTTATTAACTTTAAAACTTTTTATTAAAGTTAAAAAATAATTAAAGTTTTTATATAAAAATATTATTAATATTTAAAGGTATTTCCTTAATATTATTATTAAATTTAATTATTTTGTTAAGTTATTAAAATATTTAAGTAATTTATATATAAAAGGTAAAAAAATGTTTAAAGAAATATATTAAAGTTATTTTAAAATATAAAAAGAAAGTATTAATTATATAATAAAAGAATATTTATTAACTTAAGTAAATATAAAATATTATTTATATTAAAGTAAAGCAATTATAAATATTTTTAATATTAATTACATAATAAAATGTATTATATAATTAATAAATTTAAAATATTATTAAAGATTTATTAATTAATAAATTAAATCTTTATAATATAAAAGTTAAAATATTATTTATTTTTCTTTATTAATTTTAATTATAATATAATTATTAATATTTAATTAAGTAAGGTTTTATTATTAATAATTACTTATCTTTATAATATTAATATTAAATTATTTAATATAAATATTATAATTTAATTAAAGTAATTTTCATTATTAATAATTATTGCTTAATTAATAATAATATAAGTTTATTGCTTGCTTATTTTATTATTTATAATTACTTATAAGTAATTATTAATTAATATTAATTAAGTTAATATATATTAATTAATAATAAATTAATTATATTTAAATTAATTATATAAAAAGAAGAAGGATTGCAGCCATAAATTATAAAACCTTCCTATGGCTATAAACTATCTAGGGGTGGTCACGTGCTGCCGCATGTGACCTTTGCCTGCCGATACTCTAGTGCTAATGGCTTATAATGCTTGTTGTGCCTAGTGTTGCTATGCTTTTATGGCATGCTTATAATTATAATTTATAAAGTTTAAATTAAAAAATTTAATATAAATTTATAATAATCTTATATAATATAAAGTTAATATTAATATATATTATAAGCTGGCCCTTAATAAGGCTGCAGGCTGGCTAGTGCCTTTCGCTATAAGCTAGTTTTACTAATAACCTTATAACTATTTAAGCCAAAAGGTATGTAATAATCCAAGCTCCCTTAAATTACCTAGCCACATTATATAAGGCTTAAGCACACCAGCTTAAGCTTATTATAATATAAAGTTAATATTAATATAAAGTTAATATTAATATAAAGTTAATATTAATATAAAGTTAATATTAATATAAAGTTAATATAAATATAATTTAAAGCTTTAATATAATTTCTTTTTAAGAGTATTATAATAGCTTTTTATTAGCAATTTATTAAAATTACGAAACCTTTAATTAAATATTAAAATATAAGTGCATTGCGTAACCCAGTCAGAAACCCCCCTCCCCCCTGGCAGGCGTAAGTTTATAGAATGACCTTTAAGTTTCTCAGCTGTTGAGGAAGGAAAGTGACCTGAATGGGCCGACTAATTATAAACAATCAGTCAACGATATGTTCGTGTACATTTTAGATATTTGTATGACTTGAAACTCCTGAAACTCCTGACGTGCTGTACTATGATTAAACTGCGACAAAATCAAACCGTAAAGCTTGAGCAAACCTTTGTATGGCAAAGTTACATTCAAATCTAAGTTGTCTCGATGAGGTGGCACAGGATCCTCGTCAGAATTTCGACCTTTCCTATTGCACTATTGAGTCAGTTGGTGCTTCAACCCTTCAAGCCAGTTTTGAATACCCTCAGTAGCCTCATATAAGGATGGAGAGAAGTCAGTTGATGAACTCCATGATTGAAGTCTTACTATGTGCGTGTGCAAACGGAGACCACTCGAGACATATTGCTGATTATTCACAATTACAAGATGGTGTTTGCTTGGACATGCAATCAAGTCTATCAAACCCTAAAAAGATTCTCGATTCCCCCGTTGGACTAGGTCCATGGTGCAACAGCTTGTCTCCTGAAAATGCTTCTAGAGAGAATTGGGACACTGACAGAGGAGAGGCAAAATCGGGAAGCACTTGTTCTCGCAATGCTCGGGACTATACCACAGCAAAACTATAGACACGCTTGCCTGGTCTTGTAGTATCCAACAGACAGGGAGAGCTTGCCACACGCCTGATTCATGTGAACTGGGCCGCTGTTCTGCAGTCTAGATGGTATGATCAATCTTCCAGCTTGGATGAGGATATGTTCAGTGGCGATGTGACCTTACACACACACACACTGGAGGTTCCGAGTCACTGCGAGGTATTTGTAAGTGTATACGTGCTTGCTCAACTTGATTGGGTGGCCGAGACTCTGTAAGGCAACGTGAAGGATGGAGAAATCTCGGGAATCGTCCCCAGACAAGCGAGCAAATGGTTTCCCAGCACGCCTTTAAGAAGAAGGTGTGGAGCACGAGTCATCTGTATCTGTCACGCCCAGGGCAATTTGAAGCATATGCGGTCTGGTGCGGACTCGAGCCTCTAGATAGCCAGATTAGTGGCGGCCAAGCTGAAGTGCTTTGAGCAAGGACCTAGAGGTGGGCGCGGGCGTGGTTGTTGGTGGCCACGCTGCATAGGTGAAGAAAAGGGACAGGCTGTCCCCCCCCCCCCTCCGGAGGTGATCATAGCCCAAATGAAAAGCATTTACCCCAGAACCGCCGGTATTGGGATTTCTTCAACGGGCATATCCAAGCCGTCACAGATACTTCTAATGGTTCCCGTCTTGGGACATGGAGCCATCCACTCCGCCCATCAAAGTTTTATTTTTGACACTTCGCTCTTGTAATGTACCGCATTGACTGCATGCGATTTGGGGCTTGTGTCGGTAATAAGCTGTTGTCCACATCGTCGTCGTTGAGTACACATCAAGTGACTGCACCGGGATGCCCAAATCCTGTCAGGCCTCCGGAGGGAGCTTTACCAGTAACCCATTAAGACAGCCTCTACAAGCAACTGGATGCCGAGTGGTCATGGTACGGTTGATAGTGATCACCAACTATTCAACATGCTGCTGAGCATGTTTGTTGACTAAGCACAACCGGGTAGCCACCATGTACACATAGTCGCAGAAAATCCACGTCTGCTGATGAGTGTGTTTGACCGTGCCGCTAGAATGCGTCGACACATCGGAGAGCTAATGATCCATTTGATCCACAAGCGTCTTCCCTTTTGTCTTCCCCTTTGCCTTTCAAGAAACAGCAAAGGCCGCCTTGGTACGGCCGTGGGCCGCGCTTGTCCACGACCCAACACCACGCAGGGCAGACTTGCAGCTCGCCACGGACGAAGAGACCCAATGGCGACCCTTGCTGGATTGATGAGGGTGTTGGTTGGCGATAGTCCTGGGCAATTTGGTCGTTTCTGACTGCAGCCGCGGTTCCAAATCGAACAAACGGAATACTGCTTGGTAGTAGGCAACTTGCCCAGCAGAGATGTGCTGGCTGCTGATTGATGTTTTGTAAAGGTCGGACTGAACGAGTGGCTGCTGTGCACTCACGTATCCTTAGGTCCTTCTCGGGTCCCGATGTTCAAGTCAGCTGGCGACCTGATGCCTGGTCACGAAGTTGATTGTAACCTGCATGTATCCTTGCAAGTACCTCGCAACGCAGAGGCCATGTACCGTTGCATTCAGAGCGTCTATTGTGAGCCTCGTCCGATCTTTACCGCCGCCTGCAGAATGTCAAGACCGTCAGCCAGCCAGAACAGGGGCTACGGGGCACGCAATCTGCCAACCCACTGCGCGGCCAATGCAATGCTGTAACGCACCGCGCTTCCTGCCCGGGTGGGTGGGGTCGAAGTGAATGATGGCCAAAACTTTATTACTCTTCAGGACGATCCTCTAGTGCTGACAGTGTCCCGGGAAAATGCAGGGGCTTGCCCCCCTGTTGAGGTAGCATCGCTATTGTCTAAGAAACGATCAGTGTGCACGGAGCTCGTTTGACGTCGCTTGTGGATGTGGGCTGCTGGATAGTTGGCGATTAGTATTGCAGGTTGTATTTAAGTTTGAGAGGAACTCCCTAAACCTAGCTAATAATTAGCAAGACCTCGCTATACCGCGATTTTCACGCTGGGCTGCACCCTTGTGCAGACCAGGCCACCTGCCACCTGCTTGAGCGCCTGTCGTGTGCGCGTGTGCCTGTGGACAATGACACAAAGACGAGGGGCGAAGTATAGCCGGCGAAAGGCCTTGGAACAGTGTGGCTACCTGTCTGTTGGGCAGTGCTTATCAGGCAGCCGATGTGGCCTGTCCGCGACGCAACACAAGGTTGAGCGCATGCATACGAGGTGCTGCGTCTAACAGCAACGGCTGTGGTGAGACGTTGCTCGCTGGGGCTTGAGCAGGTTGCCGAACGTCCAAGCAAGATGCTGCCACGCAGTGTTGGCTAGCGTGCCATGAGGCGGTACTATCTACCTAGGTAGGACAGAAGTGCGGACCAGTTACCTAGGCTGCTTTTGATCTGTTGGAGCGGCGCACCTGAGGTGCGCCGTTGCTTATTGCTGTTGAAATATCTCGCCTTGTGCGGTTTGTGGACGACAGCGGTGTTTTCCCTCCATGGACGTTGGCTCCCACAGCCCACAGCCCAAAGCCCAAAGCCCAAAGCCCAAAGCCATACAGCGATGGGATACGATAGCATGCGATGCGGCTCTTGCAGGGCCTGTGCATACCGCATTTGGCCTTGGCAACGCACACAGCCAAAGCTTCATGCGCTAGATCCTTCGGCACGGAATATTTTGCGCCGCATGTCATCACATGATGAACGCATCATGCGTGCCACTGAGAGCTGCATTGCTTCATTTTCGACGGCCGAGGAGGGCCATCTAACTCCTTCTCAAGGCTCATGTCCGGAGCAAAAAGCGTATGAGAACGAGACATGAGGCTCAAAGCAGGAAAACACAGCCAGGCGCCTCTCACCTGTGTTTTTTAGGCTGAGGAAGGGGGGGATTGGGAGCGGAGGATGGCAGGGCCAGTGGTGATGGCAGTGAGAAGCGGCAGGGGCTGGGAGGGGCCGACAGGGGGGCTGCGGTACCCGAGGCATGTACCTAGGTATCTATCACATCTCGCATGTCCGTACAGTACATGCATGCACGTGTGATAAGAATCCTTGCCCCTCACACCCCTGCATCCATGTGTACCAACCACACGTACATGTCGGCCACACACAGCGTGCTGGTGTTCTGGTACAGCCACGTCCTAGGCTACACCTTGGGTTGGTAGCCCTGTAGGGTCCAGAGGGCAGATTTTACACGACCAGACGGCCAGACGAAGAGACAGACCAACCTACCTACCCAGGTAGCTGACCTTTTTATTTTTTTAAATCTTTTTTTTGAACCTCTCCAGCCAGCCAACAGCAGGCCGCTGACGAGATCCATCACGCTACCACCAAGGCTTCAACAGGCACAGACATAGGCACAGGTACAGGCGACCCTTTGCACGGCCTCTTAGTCACAGGCAGGCAGGCGGGCAGGTGCGCAGTAATGCGGCCACGTGCATGGGACAACCGACGGCTGGACCCGTGGAACCATGGACGAATGTGCACTGACTGCACTGGAAACAGCGGCGCCGTTCACATTCTTGTCTGCATGATCGTGTTCATCCTTGTTGGCCCATCGCCTTCTCTTCTCATCTCGTTCTTACACCTCTGACGTGCCGTTCGATCCTCCTGCCATTGCTAAGTCCACTGCCTGCGGCGTGTGCTGGCATCCCAAGCTCTTGGTCAAGGCAACCAACCCCACTCCGACTCCTACCCGCATCGCCACTAGCTTAACCCCGAACCCCTAAACCTGTGCCCAGCACAGATGTGTATCCATATTGGGCACACTTGCACCCACACAGCCGCCTGGGTTGGTATCTACCCGGGTTGATATCTAGATGGGTATTCAGGAGGAAGGCAGTACAGTCTCCGGGTAGCTTGCACGGGGGAGGTAGGTATACTTGTTCGCCTGTATGTTGGCAGCAGAGGTCTGAAGTTCAACGTTCAGACACCACCACACCCCCCCTGGGCGTGACATAGCAACCCTCGCTTCATTCTAATTCGTCACTAAGCGCGACCCAGCTTACACCCCCTGATCGGCCGTTCAACCATTCAGCCATCCAATCATCTAGCAGACAGGTCTGTCCGACATGGTCATTCAGCCTCACCTGGCCAGTCATCACGGCCAACACTCGGGCCCTTGAGCCACTTGGGAGTGGCAGCAGAAGTCTTAAATTTACACCTATGACGATGCCCAAACGCAGTTCCAGGCAGCCAGTGAGCACTGCATCAGTACTGAACAGACGGCCGACTCATCAAGGCAGTCACCAAACACATACCACCGCCACTGCATGAGAATCTAGTGTAGTTAAGCAATCGGTGTGCATTGAGCAGATATCTAGATAGATTGAGGAGGGAAGGTGGTGGTATTCTATCGTGCTGACATTCTGTACAACCAGAGAATGCCCGTCGCTAAAGTAGCGAAAATGCAGCTGCAGCAGAGTATCCACGGACATAACCAGCTCTCAACCACAATTACAAAGTTGGCCATGGCAGGAAATAACCGCCTCGCCTTGCCCTCTCGATCATGAAACCTCCAGCGACGGTGTCAACATGATGTCGTACGTTAGAAAATGAAAGACAATGAGGTAAAGTCCCGTCATCACTGCATCCTGCCGAGAATTCCCCAAACATCAAGGTGAGAAAGGAGAAAAGAAGGAGAAAAGAAGGAGAAAAGAAAAGAAGAAGAAAGAAAGAAAGAAAAAAAAAACCAGAGAGATTTATCATATCCATCCAAGAGTGGATCGTGATATCAGATGAGCTGCTCAATTCCGAATCACAACGAAATGGACGATTGCTCGCCGCGCGTGTCATCTAACCTTCCAAAATATGGCCGCTGTCGACTTATCGGTCAGACCCATCCCGGACAGGACACCCGCCAGGGCGAGGACTCAGTGTGTACTCACAAACAACAGACGTTCCATGTCGGCATCACCTTGGCTGGATTGACCGTTATTGACAGTGACCCCGATCCGTGCACCTGGTGGTGTGCCACTTCGGTTCGATTATGCAGTCGTATGTGGGGCAGTTACTGTTGCAAGGTTTGGTATGAATAGCGTAGCGATACTCGATCACGTTTCCACAAGCGTAATGGTGCTGTTCAAGGCGGCACATGATGGCTTGTGACTGGGTATGGCCTTCCAGTCTCGTAAGAAATTGTATGGCGTTGACGAGGGGTAGGAAGTATGCTGGGTCGCGGGCAACCAGAGACTGGCAAGATTGTATCCTGTGAGGTGTGTGCGAGAGACGAGTGCCTTTTTAGGAGCCCGGGAAACCTGGCTCGGATGTGCGTTTGCGAGGGTCTCCAAGTTTGAAGGCCGCGGTACAGGAGGTTGGTGGTGGGTGTGAGGATAGTGAGGGTGATGGTGATGGTGGTGCTCGACTTGAAGTTCTGAACAGGAGGAACTGCCCTGCGTCTTTATATGCTTGCCAAAACATGGAAAGAAGTACAATGTGAGCCTCTGGTCAGTCTGTGTGCAGTGATGAAGTGGAGAAGACGAAGGCGAGCTGTTGGTGTCCATGCCATGCCGTTCAGCAGCTCAACCGAAGCAATCTACAGAGGGCAGAGTTGTGTGTTGCAGCTGCCGGTGACTCTGTCTCCTTGCGGTTGGTTGTTAGCGTCTCCGGCTTGGTACGTCATGCGGTTGAAAGAGTGACCAGAGTGGCCGCATAGCGATGGACTTTCTGGAGACCCTCAGGAGAGGTTGTGGGAACGGCATGGACAGGCAGAGGGCGGCGGAGTACTTGAACAGTACTTAACGGTCCAAAGGGTGTACCCGAACCAAGAGATGAGTTGTACGGGCCGCCGTGCAGAGTAAGCTTGGGGGGGGGAGGCGTTGGGTCGCTCAGATAATAACCCACGTCCATCGATTTGCCGGGGTTGTGAAGGCGGGTCATTACTAGTGGACCTGGCCAATTTCCTAAACGGAATCGTCAACACGGGATCTTTTCACTGCTCAACATGAAGCCGTGTTCTTGCAATTTAATTTGTCGTCCGCCAGCTCCGCTACTTGTGGCCGATGTGCTTGCCCTCAAGAATGTCAATGGCCGCCGGCAGGGATCCGGCCTGTAAGGAAAGGCCCCCGGAGCCGACGTGACAAAAACAACAGGCCACAGCAACACAAGTACGCGGCCGTCGCTGTTGGGCAACACTTCACTTGATCCTTCTTTGCGGGCGGCATCGCTGCTGATGGTGTTGCGGGCTTGGTACTTCTCTACCCATTTGCGGTCCATAGAGAGGCTGCTCACCAACAACAATGTGCAGATCAGATCTGGGCCCGCATCTACAGTATTTGAAATCCCTCCAAGCTGCACCTGCAGACTCGTCCGAGTGACTGGAGTGCCCTGGAGGTGCAAGATCCGCAGCGTCATTCAGCTCCCACCTCGACGACAGCAGGATAGCTCTTAGTCTAAGCCCTAGGTGAAGGCCCCTCTGACTGCCATGTCAGTCCTGGGCCTGCATTCAGCAATATCATCACCGGGTCTAATCCACATGTCGACGGTGGTGGGGCGCTGTGCTCATGATGAAAACAGCATGTTTGCCAACTTCCTCAACGACAGAGGTGTGCGAGCATTTCTAGAGAGCGCCGTCACAAGTTTCTGCTCGATTCGACTGCTGAATCCGACCGCTCTATCGCCTACTAGTATCAGTGTGATATTGTCCTGCAGGTCTCCAGGCCCTCGCCGGTAGGTTATCGTCTGGCTCATATATTCCAGCGTTGCTCAATCAAAACCACGGTAGCCAGGAAAGCCGCGCTCGACAACGCCAGCGACTTGTTGGGGCCCGAGGACCGATAGCAGGCTGGAGGTTCGCAGCTATTCTTGGTTAGACTTGGTCAGACCTAGCATTGCAGTATTGTATGTTCGTGCTCGGCACCCTTGGCCCCCCGGTGGTTGACCTCGCACTCACTCTGGTGGGGAAGAAGGTTCTATGTCGAAGCCCTTGTTGGTTGCAGACCAACATCTATGGGCAGGATAAAGGTACGGTGCAGGCCTCGGGGACGGTTGAGCGCGGCCAACAAGGCTCTCACTTGTTGGCCATCAGGACCTTTCTGCGGTGTAAGAGGACGTGTGAACATATGTGGACGGGCGATGAGGTCGAACACGGAGCAGCGCAGCAGGGCAGGCTTTAGCCACGGAACACCGGTGACAGCTGGGCGTTGGGCGCTGGGTCTGGAGAGGAGCCTCAAACGGACGTGCACACCTTGCCCTGGGCAGCGGGTAGCAGGATGGGGTTCTCACAGGGCCCCCGTGCTCCCAGCCCGTGCTCCAAACCCGCGCTGCTGTTGCCCTTGCCCTCCTACCTACTGTAGGAATGGTGCAGGCGTCATGGCCCGCGCTGTCCCGTTCGTCCTACGACACACGACATGGTGCCGTCGTGCTCATCGCCTGTCAACGCGCGGGCCCGGCCCCACGTTGACGAACGCATTGGCTGGCGAAGTGGACGGCCGGAGAAGACAGACTTTGTCCGACACAGTGACGCCAGGGAAGGTCGCGGAAATGTGGCAGGGTGGCAGGTGCCAGGGGGTTGACGTTGGGGTCGTACAGTACAGTACAGTCCAGAGAGCGCTCCACGGTGCCTCGATACCCAGTAGCTGTCTGATCTAGTTGCCACTCGACGAAGCCGTGTCGGGATCAAAGAGTAGGGAGCCGGAATGAGGAAGAAGACAGCATGATCGGGTCCGATATCGAGAGGTGAGTGGGAGGGCAGGGTCAGGACGTCGCCTGCCGGCCAGGGTCCCAAGATACCCAGGTACCTGGGCATGTACTGTAGCATCGGTACGGCGCTTAAGGCTAGGCCAACGCACGGACGGTCACAACGGCTGTGGGGCGCCGGATTGATGAGGCAGAGTGGCAGAGTGGCAGAGTGGTAGGGTGGACCCTACAGTCTGCCGCGGATGCACTTGGGCGTTGCCCTGGCCGGGAACTTGCCTCTGCCTCTCTGGCGGCCAGGTGACACCCGGCAGGACCACTAGCTACCTGAAGTAGCTACCTGGGCGATGCCTGTCGAATAGGACGCTGTGCCTAGGCATGTCGTGAACCTAAGTACAGCACGCACAGTATGATACTGTCCTCGCTCCGTGCTGGACCATGAGCCCGGGGCGGTGGGGGGTTGGGGGGGGGGGTTGGCCGAGCCCGGGCCACCTGGCAGACGATGAACAAACGGATGGGGAAAGACAAGAGAGATTGAAGTGGAAGAGAGGGCAACCATCACACCTTGGGGGCCTCGATACCGGCAGCAGTGGAGCCACATCCGCAACAAGATGAAGATCGAGCCCAAGACCAGAGACGACGTGCGAGGGCAGAGGTCAAGCGCAGCCGAGGCGAGCCAGCAGCTCCCAAGTGATGTGGGATCAGTGATATCGGAACGAGAGGGAGGAAAGGGGGGATGTTGGACGCAATAGACTGAGCTCCTTCTTCAGATGGCCTCTGTCTGCCGCTCATGTTCATCTCCATCTCCAGCTCCGTCCATCCCACATTGCCCGTTTCCCCTCGGCCGCGACGCGTCTACTGTGCAGTCGACCGTGTCTTGTCCCTTGGTTTTCGTGTTGAGTCACCGGTCAATCTGCCTGTTGATTGCCAGGGCCAGCACAATCCGGATCCTACTGCATACCTAGGTACCTAGGTACACCGTACCCCAGTGCCTGACCTAAGTCTGGTTGGAATGATTGGCCTCTGCCACGCCGATGTTTTGTGCCGTTGCTCCTTCCTGACGTGCCTGTCATGGGCCCAAGTAATTTGCGAGATCAGGGACTGCAGGTGCCCAGGTGAGAGCCCGCCCTTCCCTTCCTACAGACACGAGAGAGATGGACGGGGAGACTTGAGGCATGAGGTCTGTGCACCATCACGCACCGTGCTCTACGGCTACAGTGGACCGTTTCCAGGTAGCAAGGTAGGCTGGCTAGCTGTATGAAAGTGCCATGTAGGCGGGGAGGAAGGCAGGCAGGCACGGCCAAAGCAATCACGGGTCGCGGCGGGATGGCAGGATGGGCAGGATGGATGGATCAGTGTTGTTGCTGGCTCCCCTGACCATGGCCCATGATCCGTTCCATCGCATCCGTCAAGAACGTGTGGCCCGTCCACCGGCTGCAGTCCACCGTCCGCCCAGCTCCAACTCCACCTCCACCCCCGTGGCGTCTCTGGCATTTCCTTCTCATCTTGCTGGCGACCAGGCCTCCTTGCCCAGATGTGCTCCCTTGCGACCCCGTTTGCCTGCAAGCTTCCCCACGCCGTCTAGCTGCATCGGGGCTCTCTCTCTCGAGATACAGTATGCAAATCACACGACTTCGGCACATCACGTACTGTCTACACCATTGATCTCATCTCGCGCTCATCCCAACTCTCCTCATCTCGTCTCCTCCTCGGCAAGGCTGCCCTGTGCTCGCGGATATCCTCCCCCTTCCCCCCCCGCGGCCCCAGGCCCGGACACAGGTGTGTGTACTCTGCACGTCGCCGAGGCCACCTAATTGCACACATCGCACTTCATTCACCACCTTCCTCACTTGTCCCCATGCCGTGCTCTTTGTTCCACTCAGGGGCCGGCACTTCATCTTCTTGTCCCTGGAGCCACAACCTTTCCGTCCTCGCGTATCAGCAAACAACCCTCAACACACCCCATATCCCACTGTCTCCCCACATCCGCGCCTCCGCGACCCAGCCAAGCCGTGTATCTACCTACCAGCAGGTGGCCACGATATTGCCACGCCCGCCATGCCCCGCTTCAGCCATGTTTCTTGCCCCGGTCTTGCATTTCCTTCTCCATCGTACGATAGATACCACACGCACCAGATCGCTGTCTCGACTGCCGTTCGAACTGCGGCACAGTGTCTCTCATGTTCGAACTGAGTTGTATGGTGGAATTCGACCTGCCCGCTCGTGGTATACCCACTAGAACCTCACGCCCTTCCTTGTGCGAAATATCCACAACCGGCCGGCTCCACAAAAAAATCGAGTTCCACTCTCTCTGCCGCGGCGCAGACGTCGCAGATTTCTGGGGTTTCAATGTCTCGCCCTTTCGAGTCGAGGGCGCGTTCCTCGCAGTGGAAACAGACATGTTGCTTGAGAAGCCAGACTAGTCACGAAAAGCACCTGGGCCCGTTGCTAGCGCTGCTGCCAGTCTCTGCCTGCCGGCCTGGTCTTCCTGGTGTCGATACTGTATGTCAGTAAGTGGACGTTGTGTGGCGGTGCAGCAGAGCATATCTACACCTTTCAAGGCTGGACCGGCACTGCAGGGGAGCCACATGCCGCCGCAAAGGCAACCAGGGCTGCAGCCAACTACGATTAGGCACGTCCTGTAGCATCCTTTTCGTTCCCATGCTCGGGACGGAAGTCTGCCTCATCTTGGCCAGGATGGCCGGCTTAAGCTGCCAACTGCACCGCTCGCGTCTTGTCCTGGGGAACCTGGCTGAGTTGCTGTGTGACTGTCGCTTGTGCTACCTGAGAAGTCATCCGGGTCCTGAAGCTCGTCAATGGCATTATGGACCATATACCGTATCAGGCCTGCGATTCTGCAGCCCACGCCCGGATATAGCAAATGCCCGCTAGTCGCGCCCCGTATCCTGTTCTCGGTCCAAAGTCATCCTTCCGCCACCTCGACTCGTGGCTCCAACGAGTACCTCTGGAACATTCCTAGTCAAGGACAAGGGTGACGGCCATTGCGACTATTGAGACCAAGATCTCATGTCTTGACCATTCATCTCCTGGGCATCACAGCGCATTGTTCATCGAGACCTTGACGTGTTGCTCATGCCGTTGGCTTGCCACTGCTGTGGCAGTCCCAACCGAAAGGGCACAAGCAAGTAAGCGCTCAGACTATACCCAAAAGCCTTACTCGCTTTCGGGCTCACCTGTCCGTGAATTTTAGAGATATTGCTCACGCATGGGTTCGGCCCAGGGTCTAGTACAGCACACACGGCAGTACAATCAGACCCTAGGGACCCAACAAAGTGACTCGATTGGGAAGGTTGCACGCATGCATTCTGCCCTCGCGTTATGAGTTGCAGCTCCAGCCCAGCGACGGCGGCTTTGGTAGCATTGAGCGGACCAACCACATCTCCGGTAGCTGCAGCAGATCGTCCATTGTGATGTAACACTGCCATCGCGTGCGTCACCTCAGTCTCAGCATGGGCGTCTGGCGTCAAAGTACTGCCGTCTTTGTGACCAACGTGCCAGAAGCGCAGCATGGCGCTTTCCGACCAATCACGAACATGAACCTTGGCGCCCGATGGCCAAGTTCCCCCAAGGTGAAGCCATGCAATGGCATCGTCGGCTGCGTTGGTGTCAAGAGCGGGCCCCACAGGCTCATTAGCAGAGCTGCCCAGGGTACACGCGCAAGATGCGCGCGTCTCCAAGGTTTGAGACCGCCGTGCCTTGCTAGCCGATTTTTTGGCGCTCCTGCTACTTTGGGAAGCCCGCGATGAGAGCGCCATTGTGAACAGCCGCCAAAGTACTCTCTAAGAGGAGAAGGGAGGAGCCCAAGAATCGTTCTTCGGAGCTAGACGATACTGAAATGAGGATCCGATCGCTTTGCCATATCTGATGCCTGAGAGTGGACTGCATGTATGCCCGTTGTGGTGCCCCTGTCATCTACAGCCATATCGGTATAACCTGGGATCTGTGCGTCCCTTCCCTTGAACATGATAACACCGCCCCTGAGAACCAACTTCCCTTGGGTTACATACACGCCGGAATGGGATCCTTGATCACCTCCAAGTCGTCTCCCATCACGCTCACTTAAGAGGAAGGGCGTTGGCTGGCCCTGTGTCCGGGTACACTCTTCCGAGCAGACCATGCACGCCCTTGGGTATCATCGTTCAATTCTGCTCGACCAGAAGGGCGTCTCCCTGCCCAGGTCCATAGTGTTGTGTCCAGGCCGGAGCAGATTGAGAGTGTTGGCTCTATGGCGATCTTGCAGATGACTTCTTGTTCTCGTCCAACAATGCCAACAGCTGATGAACTTGTGTGCCCAGCTTGCACTTGTTCCAAGTGCACCGTGCCATGTGCATCATGCCATGTGCATCATGGTCGCATTCTGCAGCCCATACCTGCAGACAAGCTCGGTCGTGATGGCACCCCTGCATGAGGTTTTCGAGCATCCATCACGGTCAAGACCGAGGCACATCACATCTGTCAGCCGACTGCTGAGCTGCCTGGAAGGGTGAGTCCTTCATGCTCCTGCGCCATGTGACGTGATATCGGAAGGAACCAGCCCAACGACCACTCCACTTACTGCGCCCTGTCCGATGTTGGTTCCTCGTCATGGCACGATGGCGCGCCCTCGACCATGGAGCAGGTTTTCGACCGGCCGTTGCCAATGGTGCTTCCACGGCGCGGTCACCCTGCAGCTGTGAGGCGTGCTGATGATGCGCTCTGGCCTTCCCCTTCAGGTCACAGCCCCATCTGGCAGGATCTTGTCTCCCAGTGAGCCGTGGGCGTGCCGTAAACTTTTGAGCTGCAAGCAGACTCAGCTCATCACGGCAGGCAACTTGTCAGGCTGCAGGGTTGGCCGCCAACACGACCGCTGTGGAGCACAGGCTCAGACATGGCCCAGGACAAGAGCTGAGCGGGAGGGTTCTCCCAGGACAAGAGCTGAGCGGGAGGGTTCTCCCAGGCCAGAGCTCCGAGGGCAACGCCGACTCCCACCGTTGGGCCGCTGCCTGGACAATGGTGTTGACCTGGGGGGACCTGAGGAGTACTTGTCGATACATTGCGTCTTGCAGGCACACCGAGCCCGGTGTCTGGTGTGAACCAAGTTGCAGCCCAACCGCATCCAGATGCATCTTGGTGACTCGGCTGTCGTCGTTCACCGCCAGCACCTGCTACCGCAAAAGGGCCCGGCCTGGACCTTGGCACTGCCGACTTCACACCGGGGGCAAGAGCATTCTGGGCAGCTCAAGCCAGATGGGAAGGCAGGGGAGAGAAGGCTCTGCGTGGTGGCAGGCAAGCACGGAGCGGAAGGATCAGAAAGGTAGCTGTGCGGCTGGTTCCGTCGCTGCCAACCTGCTCGGCCGAGATGCTGCACGTGTCGGCGGGTGCTGCCGACAAGTGACACGATGCTAGCCAGCAGGGGGCCTCAGGGACCAAGACTGGAGGGAGAAGCGGCATGGAGAGCCGTGGCGAGGCGTGGCGAGGCGTGGCGAGCACTCGCTCGGGGACAGGACGGACGAGGGGCCGGCTACGAGGCCGGCTAGGACGTCGTGTGCCCCAGGAGCGGGCCCCGCACCATCAGCCCTACCCGCGGCTGGTGCTGGAGTCAGCCAGACCACAGTAGCTGCCGTTGGGCCGAAGGGGGGCAGGGTGGCCGTCGGTGCGCGGGAGCGGTGCGGCGGCGCGCCGTGGGGTTGTTGTCGACGTGCGTGGGCGTGTCCCGGGAAATCCTCTTGCGGCGGGCAGATGGGCCAATGGCGAGCTCAGCTGGGCCCGGGCACCCGACCCCAGGTTCCTGGGCCGGGCCATTTCCAGCATGTATTTGCAGCGGTCTCTCGCGGAGCCGCATCGTCTTCTCCACATGTGGTTGATTGATTGATTGACTGACTGATTGATTATATACACTGCTAGCTGCTGCTTTGTTCCGGGCTGTCCAGACGTCGGACACATGCCCATCCCACCACGTCGCCCTTGTGGCCCCAGCACCGCGTGCTTTCCCTCGGCTGTGGCGCAAACCCTGCAGCGCCTCTGATAGGGGATAGGCACAATGGCCGCTTGCCCCGCTCGGAGCTCGGATGACGAGGGCCCCATGTGCCCATATTCCCACGGCGGTGCTCCCTTTCACCCAGCACCAATGCCCGACCCCACGTGTGGGCTCGGGCAGCACAAGAGCCAGATTGGCCCGATGGCAGGACAGGGCAGGGCAGGGCAGGGCAGGGCAGGACAGGACAGATGGGGTTGCACGGGACATGACATGACACGACACGACACGACACGACATGTGCGTTGCGAGGTGTGAGGAGCGGGCGACGTTGCGAGGGGAAAGGTGCGACGGGGGAGGAGGGGTCACAAACCGCCGGAGGGCACCCGGAGGGCTCGACGCGACCGGCGAGCGGATCCCATGACTATTTCCTCGCTGGAACGGCCATACACAGTACCCAGCTACGGGCATATCCACCCGCAGGTGTTTCTGCTGGGCGGCATGGCGGACAAGGGCTCTTGGCGGAGAGGGACAAGATTCAGAAGAAGAAGAAGGGGGGGGGGGGGCTGATGGTTGCGAGGTGCAGCATCGTGCAGCGTCGATGCCCACACCTCATCCACTCCCGCTCCATCCCCCGCCTGTTGTGCCCGCCCGTCCGTGTCACAAGAGATAAACAGGCTCGGGCAGGCACGAGGGGACGCACGCCCTCTCCTTCTCGCACCCACACACCCACCCGGGCATACACCAGCACCGGCGTACATGCGTCCTTCTCCTTCCTTGATCCGCCTACACCCCGCCAGCCCGCTGGGCCAGCGCATTGGGCAAGCAGATCCGCTGCCCCCGTCTGTAGATATAAAGCCGGCCCCTCGAGCTCCTTTGTCTCTGCCTCCTCCCTCGCTCCTCTTGTTGTTCACCATCCCAGAAAACCCTCAGCACCCAGGTCAGCCAGGCCAGCGGCCCGCCAGCAGCCAACGATACTGTATCTTATATCACGTCCTCCCCTCCTCCACCAGGCTCGGCTCGACTCGGCTCGGCTCGACTCGACTCGACTCGGACCCCCCTCCCACGCCAGATCAGACCTTGCCTTCTTGTCCTGTCACCCTTCTACAACCACCCAACCACCCACAATGTCTGACCCTCGCCGCTCCATGCCCCTGACCTTCCTGCCCCTGGGGCCCGTCACCTCTGAGTCCTTCCCAAAGGCGCAGCAGCCCAAGCAGGACGGCGACGGGCACAAGAGGCGAAGCTCCTCGCTCAGCAGCGACGGCAAGGGCTCCGCCCCCGGCTACAGGGTCCTCAAGGTCGCCCCCGTCCACTACGGCGAGCATGCGGGTGATCACCAAGATGACTGGCACAACGCCGCCGCCGTTGTCGAGTGAGGCAGCAGCTGGCCTGCCCCATGGCTCTGATGCCTTGGGCGACTGGGCGCGCCTCCGTGCCGCATACGTACAAGTCACTTGGTTGGGCTCTGTTCTCTCACGCGCGGCTCTCTTGTCCTTGTGACCTTTTGAAAAGCAAAAAGGGAAAGAAAACAGCAAACTTCCGAAAAACAGCGGGGCCACTTTTCATTCGGGTTTGGGGTTTATTTGTTTGTTTGTTTGTTTGTTTGTTAGCGCAGTGTTTAGGTCAAGTACGGCGTTTTTCTACGAAGGCTCATTTGCAGTCAATCCGGCCAAGCGGGCGGGGTGGTGCATGTCGTGTCGGCTTCCTCACGGGGCTAAGGAGGGGAGATTGACCAGACTCTGCTGAGGGGGATGGCTTATTGGAACAACCATGGCAGTCTGAAAATTCCCATCGAAACAACAGTAACAGGAGGTGTCAACGACTACCTGCCAAGCAGATACTCTGTGCTAAGAATAACAATGCTGTTTCCTCCACCTGTGTTTCGAACCGCGACGTATACATGGTGAACTATGCGCGAATGCAAAACCAACACCCCCACCGTCTTGCTGTCCGGGTCGAGGCATCTTCCCTGCCCGATACCCAATGATAGCCATTCGGGGAGGAAACGTCAGCCTTCGTCCCATCGAGGGCAAACAAGGCCAAGAGCCTTGGGATGCTCGCACAAGGACAGGGTAGCACGAGGTCGTCAGCCGTAACGGTTGTGCTCCCCTCCACCAGGTCCCCTGCCTCTCCCCTTGCTTTTGTGCGCCCGTGAAGAGCGAGAGCCAGGGCCCAGGGCCCACCACGCCCCAATGGTCCTCTGTAGCCTACGTCGATGCTCGCGTGGCTTGTCAGCCGGGTCAGCCGGCGAGACACCTGTCACACCCGAGGACTGGGGGACGGGGGCCAGCGGCGAGAGTTTGCCCCAGCGTCGTCGAGCCGTCGCCCGAGAGCCCCAGAGGTACAAGAGGCGTCGATACAAGCACGCAAGCTGCCGTGAGTCAAGCTTATCAGATCGGCGCGGGCCCGGGGGCGGTGAGGCGCTTGGTAAACGCTTGAAACCCTCGAGGCCCCGTTCGTCCCTTTGGATAGGCGCACGGATACGTAAATTACGTACATGGTGCATGGTAATAAATATAGAGAGCCCCTCCCCCCTCCCCACGGGCTAACAAAATCTCCTTCCCCGTTGCACCGGCATAATCAAGATCTCTCGGCGCTGCATCCCGGACCAGGTGGTCGTCGTGCCTGGGGGCCTGCACAGCTTGCAAAAGCCCGCCGTCGAGCGCCCAGATGCCAAGCCCCCGAAGCACTGACGATCACTGTCTCGGACCGCTCCGCTGCACCACACCAAGCCCATCTCGGTGGCTGCTTGCATGGTTGTTTGCCACATGCCCTGCTGCTATTCCGCCCATCTCTGTCTGGCCGCTCGCCTTGAAACCCGTCTTGGCTGCGTCGTTTTCGCTTCCGCGGCCGTATTACACAGACTACCGACGTGCTTTTTGGGTTACACTGCTCCTGTGATGCGTGTGTGATGCTGAGCAGCTAGAAACATCGCCGCTGCCAAGATGAGGCCAAGAAAGCAAGCGGTCGTACCTGAGTGGGCCTGGCGTCTCACCGAGACTGCATGCTTCAGACAGTCCAGAGGCAGTCGCCTCTGCGTACATGGCAGCCTGACCTTTCAATAGTCTTTGCATGACAGGTCCCGCCACAGGTCCCGCCACAGTGTTTTTTTTAGGGGTGGCCGTTCATGTAAGGAACCTCGTGCGTCCGTCCAGACGCAACCGATTAAAACAGCCAAGAGACTCACTTTGGGTAGATAGCCATGGCATGCTCCGTACCTGCAAGACACGGCGTGAATACTGTAACAGGCAGACGATAGGATTATGCGCGGGTGGACCCACGCACACAAGAGCAGACTGGCAGAGGGCCAAGCGAACCTTGACTGACGCTTGCCATGTGTCCGAATATAGATATAGATATTCACATGCACGATCTATCCCTCCGAACCCCATGGACGTGTCGGGGAACGACGCCGTCGCGAGTCGAGCTGCTTGACTGGAGGCCCGCTGCTGGATTTCGAGCCTGCCCAGTTGTACCCCTAATAGATGCATCCGACCAACTTTTCGGCCCACAGGAAAAACGCATGGCGAGGAACACTTCCGGCTGTAAAACAGTGTGCGTTTGCCTTGAAGATGGCGTTGGCTCATTGAGTAGACACGTAGGAGCAGCATTCTGGGCTGCCTCACAATCATCTCTCTGTGGCTGTCGCACGCCCTCCTGACTCCCGGCTACGTCTGTGTTTCGAGTCTCCCACCCCCCTCCGCCCTCCGTTGGGGAAGGGGGTGGGGCAAGACATTGTTTTCTCTGAAGTGCGGGCTGCCAGAGCCATCTCGTCTAGAATCCATATTTGGCCCCAGACTGCTTCTGTGTCGCCCGGTTCTTGGCAAAGTTCTCCTCTAGCGCATCCCGTTGGCTCTGCACCTGGTTTACCAGCTGCTGCAGGCTGTGCTTGCCTGGTTTGATGGCGCGCAGCGGGTTGTGTTGCTGTTGGTCCAGTGCGCCGGACTGCCGCAGCTCCTCGTTGTGCCGGTACTCCTGGTCCAGGTTGAAGTTGATGACGGACTTTGCTGTTGTTTTGCTCGGCGCGCCGCCGCGGCCGAAGAGTTCCCGCCGTGCTGCTGGGCCGAGATTCAGGTCGTCCGCTATGGAGTCGAGTGAGGTGGGATCTGGGTAGCCAGCTTCCCGCGCCGGTGGCTGTGAGTAGCCCGCATACTGCTGCTGGCTGGCGCCATCATCTAGTGCGTTTCCTTCGTCGAACGTGCTTTGATCATGACCCCGCGGCTCGGCTTCGTAGGAGGTGCTATCTTCCGGAATCGGTTCCACACCGCGTGCATCATCTACTACGGAAAACAGCGATATCTTCTTCTTATTCTTCTTGGCTTGCGGGACCGCCGTTGTTTCTTCTTTTGACGGTGGTCCAGGGCTTCCTGTGTCCGAAGGCCGCTTCAGCGCGCCGCCGCGCGACGCCGTAGTTGAAGCCGCCGCCGCCTTGACCCCACCGGGCTTCTTGCCAGGCTTCCTAGCAACAGACAGTGGCTTGAACATCAAAGGTTTCCCAACAAGCTTGACCTCGCCCTCCGACTTCTGCCCAGGCGGTATAGATGGCTGCGCCGGCGCGGTGGCGGTGGCTGATGGCGAGTTTGAGATGGAGCCCGACCCGTCCGTCCTCGAGACTCCATCGCCGCTGTCGTCACCTGCATCCCTGCTGAAGGCAGCCTCGGAGCTTGTCCTCAAGTTCACACCGACCCTTGGGGTGGCCTTTCCGATGCTGCCACCTCGGGGGTTGGAAGCTGTGGCCTTGGGCGGTGGCAGGAAGGAGCTGAAGCCGCCAAACCTGCCGCCGCTGGTCTTGAGCCGCTTTGCCGCTGGCGTTTCGCTGGTCGCCGCGTCGTCTGACGTAGTGGACACGGACGGGAGGCTGACGAGGATTTTGCCGGGGTTGGACTTGTCGACGAGCTTCTGGAAGCTCTGTTTCTTGGCAGGCTGCGATGCGGCGGCGGTGGTGGTTGGGTGCGCCGAGGTCCGTGGGGACTCGCTGTCGGATTCAGAGTCCGAATACTCAACCAGGCCCATGTCTGGTTGCTGAGTCGAGGAGTGATAGCTGTGCCTTGGGATTTCGTGTCTTGATTCGAGAGACAGGTCATACGGTGGAGGTGACAATGATGTTAATGTGCATAGGCGAAAGGCGGTCGAGAGGTTTTGGAGGTTGAGTGGTGGAGAAGTGGGGATTTTTTGTAGGGGGGACCGGGGGGGGGGGTTGGCAGGGCCGAACAGAGGACTCACACAGACCCCTTCTCTTCAGCTGCCTGGCTGCATGTGAAAAAGTCGGGGGCTGCGTTTACATTGTAGAACTGCCTCTGCAAGAGGCTTCGCCCTGCCATCTTCTCAGGCCACCCTACCTGTCCCAGTGGTGCCAAACAATTCAATGGTCTGTCCTTCCACAAGAGCTGTGGCCCGTTGGTCATGCCAGGCACACAGAAGTCACCTTGTCAGATTTGTGACAGCACTCAGCACTTTGCTTCCGCAGCAAACCAGGCCATGGGGACAAATTCTTTTTCCCCCCTCTTCGTTTTGCATGAGTCAATCCATGTTCAAAGGCTATGCAAAGCCTCCGTCTACCTGCCTATATGTGCCTGTGTTTGTGTCTCTAAGGCGCCCCAGATGTCCTCACTGCCGATACCTCACCCTGTTCTGGTGTTGTCTGTCAGTCTGTATGCCCTGCGCCTCTCGCTGCCCGTGCTACCCGGCCATGGAAAAAGCCATGCACGCATGCCTACCCTGACTTGATTTCGTGTTGATACAATTAGTTTGTCTTTTCTTTTTCCCACCCTTCCACACCACTTCTTCCTTTCTCTCCTTCGCATACCTTTCGCCGATATTTCTCTTGTCTTTCGTTCTCCACCCCGCCCAGGTTGCTTTCCGTCTGCACCGCTCTGCCTGGGCCTCTATTATGCGGAGCTTCCATCGAACGCGTTTGCCCCGGCTCCATCATATACATAAGCCGTCGTCCATCCAGCATTCACTCCCCATTGTTATTCCACCAAGGCTAGTCGTTGGTGGGCGAGGTTGGTGAGCTGCCGACCAGGTTAGCATCGCGGCCTGTCCACAAATAAGGCAGCATGGCCGCCTTGATCGACTTACTATTGGTCCTGGCCGCCAGCATCTCGTCCAGGCGTCGGTGCATTGTACTGAGGCGAAGTTGGTGAATAGCTCGGGCTGGTCGGGGACACATTCTGCCCGGGTGACCGTTGGTAGGTCGGACTCGTGGGCGAGTATGCGTCAGGAGATGTCGGAGACCATGTCGGAGACGCGGGGGAGTACCGAGGGGATGTGGCGTGGACGTTTGGCGAGCTTGGGCTGTAGTTCGGACTGGCTGGCGAGTACGAGGGAGAAGTCGGCGAGCCCCCGTAGTTTCCAGCCGGTGACGTAGGTGAGTACTTTGGTGCAGATGGAGATGTCGGCGAGTAGCTCGGCGAGGTCGGGCTGTAGTTTGGACTGGCTGGGCTAGTGGGCCGCATCAAGGGCGATGTCTGCGAGTATGATGGCGAGCCAGGGCTGAAGGTTGGCGACGAGCCACCGAGGCGAGAGCCTGCATCAATCATCGGTGAGCTGGGCGAGTATGCGCCCATGGGAGATGATGGAGAGTATCCCGCGCCCTGGTTTCCGTACGGGGACGTCGGCGACGTCGGGGCAAATGGGCTCGTGGCACGTGGGCTGGTGGCCGAGAACCCACCCCCACCCATGCCGAACCCACCACCATACTCAGTGCCAAAGCCGGCCGGTGTCTCGGACCCTGCGCCGATGATGGGTGAGAAGTTGCCTGGCGCCGGGGACATGATACCCAAGAAGCCACCCGTGTCTGCCATGGGAGAGCCGGTGTCGTAAGGTGTCGCCGCGCCTTCCATCGGGCTGCCCTTGACGGTCATGCCGGGCATGAGGCCCATGCGCGAGTTGTCCGAAATGACCGTCTCCAGCATCTTGGGGTCAAGCTGCACTTCAAAGTGGCCTGTCCCCATCGGGGCCAACTGGCCCAGCATCACGTTTTCAGAGATACCGCGGCAGTCGTCCAGCTCGCCTGTGGCCGCAGCCTCCAGAAGAATCTCGACCGTCTCCTCAAAGGAGCAGCGCATGAGCGCACCAGTGTCGGCGCGGTTGATGCCGTGGCGGGTGACCGCAGCAATGCTGCCGCGGTACGTCATGACGTCGACCAGGAGAGCGAGATGGCGGTGGTTGACGTAGGAACCATCAAATGCCAGCACATTCGTCAGCTCAGACAGCAGAGCAGATCGCGCCGCCTCGATACCGAACACATCAATGATCTGATGCAGCTGGTTGGTGGTGGTCCGTCTCGTGTCGACGCCCTCGACGGCAAGGACCTGGCGTAGTGCCGTACCAGTGGTGTCGAGATAAGATTCCTCGCAGTCAGCATCGCCCTGCTTGGCCTTGAGCGAGCCATCCGGCATCTCTATCAGACGAGCATTCTTGTTGATGAATGCCCGTTCGATGCCGGGCACGCCCCGAATGGTGAGTTTGTCCAACAAATGAGTTTCAAGTCGCTTGAGCATGACGTCTTCCTCCATATCATCGTCGTCGGCGTCGGCTTTATCACGGATCGAGCGGACGCGGATGATTTGCTCGTCGTCGTTGTCATCGTTGAAGATGACAGCCAGATCATCGGAATACTCGTCTTTGAGCCGCTGGGCGACGTCCTCAACCCGCAATTCCTTGTCGAGCATCTTCTGCCGGTCCAGAGTGATTCGAAGCACCCAGCGAGTCTGACGATCAAGGTCCTCGGTTTGTGGGGCCTCAAGAAGGAAATACGCCTCAATCATGTCCATATCCTCGGGAATAATGGTCTCTCGAACGTCCGGGTCATAGAAAATCTCAGTCATTGCCGTGACCGACCTCAGGTTCGTGTGCTCAGTAAGACTTCGCAAAGTCTTCGCCGCGTCCTGTGATGAATCGTCGCCTTCAAGGAAAACCTGCATCGAAGGAGTCTTGATGTCACTGGCGACGTTAAGAATCTCCTTGAGCCGAGGCACACCAAGAGTGACATTCTTGGAGGCAACACCAGTAAAGTGGAATGTGTTGAGTGTCATCTGCGTAGCTGGCTCTCCGATGGACTGCGCCGCGAGAACCCCCACCATTTCTCCAGGGTTGACCATTGACCTTGACCAGCGGTTCTCCAGCTCCCCAAGAATGTGGTCAAAGGCTATGCGAGGAAGCCGAAGCTGCACTGCGAGACGCCTGAAGGCCAGTCGCGAGCGCAGGTGGGCCTTGAAGAGGATCGTCGCGCTCTCATCAGCCTCCTTGGAAATCGGATCTTGACCTGGGACGACCACCATGCGCCTCATGAACGCATCGACGGCCGGGATCACATCCGAAGGCTTCATATCACTTCGCTTGGTGGGGTCGACCTTGAAGAAGGATATTGTGCTGTCGATCAACCGTATGATGTTCAGAGGAAGCTGCATCATAGTCTCGTCCTTGCCCCGTGACAACATTATTTGGCGAACCGCCCGGCGGGCCGTCGAGAGGCGTTCGTACTCGGCATCGAGCAGCTGCTGTTCTTCGATGTTGCTCGCAAGATGACTGCCGTACTCGAGAGCGTTGGTCAAGGTGTTGGAGTCCTCGACGAGATCGAGTTTGTAGCGCTTCTCGAAGTCCTTGTCGGAGATGGTGAGGAAGTCGACCTTCTGTTTTTCGATGTGCATGCCATCGAGACCATCTTCGCCGTAGATGAACTGTATAATATCATTCAGCGAGTTTCGAACAGTGCCATCGTACTTGGCGGTGACATCCTCGAGCGCCTTGACCAGTCGGCGCTGGATATAACCGGTTTCAGCGGTCTTGACAGCGGTATCGATCAAACCCTCACGACCAGCCATGGCGTGGAAGAAGAACTCAGTGGGCGTCAAACCACGCAAGTAGGAGTTCTCGACGAAGCCACGGGCCTCGGGTGAGTAGTCGTCCTTAGTAAAGTGAGGCAGCGTTCGGTACTTGAACCCAAAGGGAATTCTCTTTCCCTCGACGACCTGTTGGCCAACGAGAGCAGTCATTTGGGAGATGTTGATGGAAGAACCCTTGGAGCCGGATCGAGACATGGTCACAGCGTTGTTCAAATCCTTCAAACTCTTCTCCGTCGTCGTACCAGCCTTGTCACGGGCGGCGTTCAACTCCTTGGATACCTTGCTCTCAAAAGTTTCTCGGATACTCATTCCGGGAAGTGGCTCGAGCTTGTTTTCGGTGGCCTCGGTCACGATCTCCGCGACGATCTTCTTCTGGCCGTCAATGTCCTGCTGGATCTTGATTATAGTATCCTTGTCAGGGATAGTATCACCGATCCCGATGCTGTGGCCGTTGTGCAAAAGCCAGTAGTTCACAACACGCTGACAGGCGTTGAGGAAACCCATTGCTGCGTGTGGCCCTAGCTCGTTGTAGGTGATGTGAATGATGCCGCCAGCCGCAGCACCCACAATCTTCTTGGTCAGTAGACCGTACACAAGATCGCCATTGTGGATCCTGATTCCACTGTCATCGATGGGGAGTTCGCTGCCACCTTGCTGCAGGCTGACCTCTTTAGGAATGACCATGCTGATGATCTGCTTGCCAGTCCAACGGGGAGATGGATGAAGTATGGCCGGAGTCGGGATGACACCATCCCAGTCCTCAACCCAGAGCATAACATTCATGACTTCCTCCCTGGTGAGAAACACATCACGACGGCAGAGCTTGTAGGCGCCTGCCAAAGTGTCCTGGACAATCCCCATCAGTGGGGAGTTACGTTGCGGCGAGACGATGTTGAGGGGGACCAAGCACAGGTTCTGAACCTCAGCACGAGTCTCCTCGGTCTGGGGAACGTGAAGGTTCATCTCGTCGCCATCAAAGTCGGCGTTGTATGGAGAGGTGACGGAAAGATTCAGCCGGAACGTGGAGTAGGGCATCACCTTGACGCGGTGGCCCATCATGGACTCTTTGTGAAGCGAGGGCTGACGGTTGAAGATGATGTAGTCACCATCGATGAGATGACGTTCAACCTTCCAACCGTACTCCAGAGTGATCTGACTTGCGCGTTTGTGATGGCGAAGATCGATCCTGGTGCCGTCGGAGCGAATGACGTACTTGGCACCTGGATGCTCGTTCGGCCCGTTCTCAACAAGCTGATGCAGACGGTGGATATTATAGGGAGTGACAGTCTCCGGGTAGGTCAGAGTTCTCGCGATGCTTCGAGGTACGCCAACTTGGTCCAGAGAGATGTTTGCGTCACCCGTGATGACAGTGCGTGCAGAAAAGTCCACACGCTTGCCCATCAGATTGCCTCGGAGACGACCCTCCTTGCCCTTGAGACGAGCACGGATTGCCTTCACGGGTCGGCCACTCTTCTGCAATGCGCGCGGCGTGCCAGCAATGTCGTTGTCCATGTACGTGGCGACGTGGTACTGCAAGAGCTGCTCGAAGTCGTTTAAAATGTGCGCTGGGGAGCCCTCGGACAGCGCCTGCTTGACGTTGCCGTTGGCACGGATAATGTCACCGAGCTTGTAGGTCAGATCGTCCTCGTTCCGAAGACCCTGGCCGGTGCCGTCCATGCTGATCGATGGTCGGACAGGGGGAGGTGGCACCGGAAGTACTGTGACGATCAGCCATTCAGGACGTGCATAGTCCTTGTTCAGCCCCATGTCCTCGAGATCAGCATCAGAGATTCGTCGGAAGATGTCATGCACCATCTTCGGCGGCAACTGCTTCTTCTCGATGGTCTTGCCACCACCCTCCTCGTTGTCGTGCTGGAAATGCTGCTGAAGCTGCAGTGCCTGTTGCCGGACTGCGGGCTGGGCGTTGCCGCACCCGCCGTGGTTAGGGGGTGGGGGCTTGTTCTTGTTCTCCGGGTCAAACTCCTCGTCCTTCTTGGAGACCTCGTTCTCGCAGCGCTTCTTCTTCTTGCACACCTCCCAGACCCGGGCGAATCGAGCTTTCGGGTCTCGTGTCGAGACGGCGGCCGCAAATTCGGGGTCACTCTATAGTCGGTGGAATCAGCAATCAGCAGACCTTCACAAGTCCACAACAGTCAAGCTAGACCAACCCTATCAGCCAACACCTTGCTGCAACTATGGCAGACGATCTCAAGGATCTTCTTGGTCTTCTTCAGGAAACCAGGGTGGAAGACAGGCGTGGCCAGCTCGATGTGGCCGAAGTGACCAGGGCACTCAGACATGCTCTCAGTGCAGGTCTTGCACTTGAACTGCCTGTCGACAGAGCCGAGGCGAGGATCGTTGAGGCCCTCTTGCCGTGGCTTCGTTCTGGTCTCGTCCATGGTCTCGGGGTACTGAATGTGCGCCACACTCATATTCTTGATCTCCTCAGGAGACATGACACCAAACTGTATCTCCTGGATCGTCTTGAGGGGCGCACTAGAGTGCGCAAAATAAAGGTTTGCCATCTTGGAATGAGACCCCGAGGGGGTGGGGCGTATCGGACGCGATGGTGTGAATGCGGCTGATTAGGGATCGTGGGTCGGGGGGCGACGGTCGAGGTGAGGACCAGGTGAGTCGCCGGGACGGGCGCTGGTAGACAGGAAGACCTAAGTCGGAAAACGAGAGGGAAGGCAGTGCTTGCGTGAAACCCTGTGACGATAGCAAGGTCGGCGCAAACTATGTTTCGATGGATGGGTTGGGGGCTTGTCCTCCGCGCTCTCAAACCAGGCCGCCCAAGGCCCCGAAGGAGCGACTTGTCGGTCGTGCCACCTCAGCCGTTGTCGCTGTCGTTCGAAAAAGGCACGAAATCAATTGTGGCGATAGTTTCGTACAGATGAGGTACGGGGAGGGCCGCAGAATGGTGATGCGTGGGCTCCGACGCGTGTTGGTAAGAGGTTGTGATGAGGTTGGTAAGGGCCAGGCAGTCGAGGCGACTCTGGAAAATCCAGAGAGGAGTGATCTAGCCGGTGAGCTTGACCTGGAAGGGCCCGTGCACAGCACTAACTATACGCGGCGACAAGAGTGGGTCCCCCGGTACTCCAATGTTGGGGCTGGCAAAAGGCAGGGTGCTCGCAGAGAACCCGCAGAGAACTTGGGTCTCCAGTGGCCTGATGGTCTCGGCTGGCAGGCAGTGAATTCGCCAGCAGGTGCTATGGAAGTATCTTTCACTGACAAATCCGCTCATCTCATTCTTCCCCCTTTGTTGATGAATGCCTACTTCACTCAGCCCCATTCACTGCAAGGTAGAATAGAAGGCCTACGTTGCAAGTCACAGTTGTCAGGGCACCTCACTGTGCCGAGTCATTATGACAGCTCGTACTCCATGAACCACATATGCAGGCTGGGATGCAATTATTCATGGGATATCATGGAACACACAAGTCATCTCTTCCTAGCCCTTCCTCTGTTGCCTGTCTTTTTGCCCTGTTTCTCCTCTGCCCCCGTCGCCTCGCCATCCGCGTCTGCTCCATCCCCAGGGCTTCTCCTCCTCATAGTCCCCGTCGAGACAGCAACAAACTCCTCCTCGCTGTCCGAGTCCCCCAGATTGAAAAGGATCGGTATCTCAAACCCGCCCGGGTGGTCTCCAACGCCTGCCAGTCCGATGGTCATCACGTCAACCTCCTCGTCCTCCTGATCCAGCTTGCGCTTCTTGATCTCCTCCTGGGGGTGGATGTCGAACTCGTCCTCCCTTTCCATGTACTCGACATTCTCCTCCACCTCAACAAAATCCGGTGCCAAGGCTGACCAGCGCTGTGGGCTTGTTACGCTCCAGATGTTGATACGACCAGTCTCTAGCCCACATGCTGCCAGCAAGGCCTTGGAGGGGTGCCACTCTATGACGCCCTGCTCTTCTTTCGGCCCCTCCAGCATCCTCACGAGACTGCCGTGCCCGCGCTCCCAGATGTATAGCTCGTGGTTGTTGTAAGTGGAGGCTACCACGTACTCGCCTGTGCAGCTGAAGGTGACGTGGTTCCATGAGCAGCGGTTTACCACGTCCTCGAACTTGTGCTCGATAGGCAATTGGATCGTATCGGAGTCGAGGTCCTCTGCCGAGAGGTCAGGAAGGTGGAACGTCTTGATGACCTTGTCCTGGCCATTTACAAGCAGCTCCCGCCCTGAACGCGTAAGCTTGAGTGTTGTGACCACACCGCTGCACACCTTGAGCTGTGTGTATATTATCTCGTGCGTTCGCGCGTCGATGATGTTGAGGTTGCCCTTGTTTGTGCCGGCCAGTATGTGGTCACCCGACTTGGTGTAGATTGTCACTGTGGTCATGTGCCTCGCGTCATCCTTCTTCTGACGCGCCCTCTTCTCTGCGTCCTCTTCGACCTTGACACGCCTCGGAGCTGTTGAAAGTACATGTTTGTTTGCGACCGGCTCAGATATGTCGACGAGGAGGGGTTGTTCTTCGTAGAGGGACACGACAAATTGAAGACTGGGGCGGGTCAGCGCTGCCTGGATATGAATATCTGGGATGGCGATTGTACTGACTGGTTCCACGGGTGAAGCTCCGCAATGTACACGGGCGCCTTGAAACGGACCTGGCGATGGGGCTTCCCATCCTTGAGATCCCACAGAACAGCCTTCCAGCCCTGACATGCGGACAGCAGGTACCTCCCACACCGAGACCAACTCAGGGAAGAAATGCTCTTAGAATGACCCCGGAGCTTGCGAGCGACACCCATAGTGTCCAGGTCCCATATGACGACGGTGCCATCAACGCGGCCCGAGGCGAGGTAGTCGCCTTTGCGATTGAAGCGCAGACATGTCGCATGGCCGGATCGGATCGTATTGGTGATGTTTTCGGGGTAGTCTTGGAGGAGATAGTCGTCTGAGAGCAACAGGTTCATCTCGGCAGACAGTATGCCCTATGTGAGGGCTCAAGCATAGGAGTGAGCGTTGTCGCAGCCTGATGTCGAGCGTGAGACACTGGACGTGGCTGTCTTTTGTGGTGCACTGATGTCGGTCCCGATCTGCAAGGCTGAGGAAAGCTGGGGTGGGTCGACCTGCTTGGCTGCTTGGTTCAGAACCTTGAAGTCAAGAGTGACGCTACGAGGTGATTCCTGCAGGGTCGGGCCCCAGATCCACGGTAGCGTGGGGACCTCGCAGGGATGCAGCTGCCGCGTGCCGGGTGAGGACCCGCTTCATCCCAAAAACCCGGAGCTGCTCCTAGTACAGCATTTATATTCAGGATTTGTTTTGTTCGTGCGGAGCCTGTCCATACTGTACAAACCTAGCAACGGACCGCCACACCCCGGACAAAGGAGACTGGCTCTCCGAACGCACACGTACACACCGCGCCAGCTTGCGAAAGCTCTTGTGCACGCACAATTGCCAAAACATGGCAAACTCAAAGTTCGCTTCATCTCGTCTAAGCCTGGGTGTGATAGACATGACTCACCAGCGCATAGATGGGAGTATGTCAAGCAATTCGAACAGCCAGACCAACTGCTGCCGAACACATGGGTTGTAGTGAGGATAGACGGTCGTGGGTTCACCAAGTAAGCTGACCAGCTGGCCGAGACGCACGCGATGCAGAGCCACACGCAGACTGACGAACGGCAGATTTGCCACCAAGTATGCTTGGGAGAAGCCTAATGACAGGAGGGCTCTGGATCTCATGAACGATGCTGCGAAGGCGGTCGTGACTGAGATGCCAGACCTGGTCGTCGCATACGGCATCAGCGACGAATACAGCTTCGTCTTTCACAAGACCTGCACGCTATTCGAACGGCGAGAGAGGTGAGCCTGCACCCGCACCTGCCGAGAAAACCGGTGGTGAGCCAGCCTCCTGTTGACATCCACAAGCAAGCTGGTGACCACCATCGTATCGACCTTTACGTCTTACTACATCTATCTCTGGTCTCATTACTTCCCCGAACGGCCGCTGTCGCCCCCTCTCCCCAGCTTCGATGGCAGAGCAGTATGCTACCCATCCGTGTCCAACCTGCGGGACTACATGAGCTGGCGTCAAGCCGACTGCCACATCAACAACCTTTACAACACAACTTTCTGGGCTCTGATCCTCCGAGGGGGTATGGACAGCCAGCAAGCGGAGAGGGCACTGGCTGGGACCGTCTCCGGGGACAAGAACGAGCTTTTGTTCACAAGGTTTGGTATCAATTACAACAACGAACCCGACATTTACAAGAAGGGCAGCGTAGTATTCAGAGACTACGAGCTGGCCGAACCCGGGAGCCACAATGCTGCCGCGGAAGCAGACAACACTGCCGAGCCGGCCCAGCTATCCAAAAGCCAGTCCGAAAAGGAGAAGAAGAAACGTGCCAAGGCCAAGGTTGTAATTGAGCACCTAGACATCATCAAAGATGACTTCTGGGACAAGCGGCCCTGGATTCTGTCAAACAAGCCGGGGAGGACAAGGCCGCAGACGACGAGGGAAACGATATCGTCTCTCGAGGATTAAAGACCACAGCCACTATGTTTCAGAGTTGCCGGACCTACATCCCGGTGTGTTCTATGCCTGAATAAGTAGGTAGCTATAGAGCCAGATGAGTAGATAAAGAAAAGGTACCGGAGTCAAGGAGCGCTTGCTCGTCGACCTGAGCCGTGTGTGGGATTGGGGATTGAAAAAGTCGACGCACTGAACTGAGACGTGGCTTCTTCAGCTTCGAGCGGCTGGTCCAGCCGGTCCAGACCTGTGAAGAAGACGATACCGTGTGGAAAGCCCCTGACGGGGCCCTCGGGAGCTATTCGTCTGTAAAGGCAGCACGATTATATGGTAATCTATGAAGGGGGGGCCCCTGCTTCGCAGCCCCCCCCCCTCGACGGGGCTCACCCCCGCCTCCCATTACGGGAGGGTTCAGGTTCAGGAAGACCCCATAATAATCGTGGTCTGGGCCAATCAAACGTGAGAATTCTGACCAATCAGCATGCACGGTTAAAAGATGGCACTGGCGGAGGAGTAAAACCAGGTGGAAAGCCCCTATCGGGGCCCTGGGAGCTATTCGTCTAGGCCTGCTGGCTAATCTTTTGGGGGGGCCCCTGCTGCGCAGCCCCCCCCTCGCCTACGGCGCTGCGCGCCTCCGGCTCACCCCCCCCCCGGCGAGGCCTACGGCCTCGCCTGCCCATTAATGAGGGTTCGGGTTTTGGAATAAGCCAATCAGCTTGCAACTTTTCTGAACCATGGTGCGCCGACCGAGTTCCCATTCACAGACTATTCTAGACGAATAGCACAGAGACTATTCTAGACGAATAGCACTATTCTAGACGAATAGGTAGATAGAACATGGTGGACGACGACGGAACAAGCAGCGGGCCGGAGGCCAGCCGATTGGATTGCGGCTGGTTGGTCAGATCGACCCTGGAATGCGCTGCTGCGAAAGCCCGTTGCATGTCGAAGAATTCTGCCCCGCCCCCTCGCTGGCCTACCTACCTAGGTAGGTACCTGCCTACATACCCAGGCATGTGGGTATTCGGTCCCAGGGGTCTGGTCTCATCTATCTTGGGCTGCTGGGTCTACTGTGCGGTACTACCTAGGACCTAGGCATCTACCTACACCTCTACCGGAGTAATAAACGTTATTTGCCTAGGTACTGCCCCACCAGCCCCACATAACCTAAGGTACGTAATCCAACCACTAGATTATATGGAAGTTAAGGTAGCAAATGTTATCTCTTAAAAGTGGAGTGGTTTGCTTAAGTCCTTCCACCATAGAAATTGCTAGAAAGGGTGACCGCTCCACTACATGTGGGTTAAGTGGGTTATAACTTTAAAAAATAACGTTTATTACCCCGGCGAGGTGTATAGGGTTTCCTGAAAAAGAAGCTTAATTTGTAACTTTTATGGCATTAGCAAAGGATCCCCTAACTTTATTATTTTATTTATATATGTTATAATAATAATATTAGCTTTTTAAGGTAAAATTATATAGAAAAAAGGTAGCTTTTTTATAGCATTATATCTTATATGCGTTATAATGGTATAGGTTTAATTGAAAAATTATAAATTAGAAGTTATGATTGGTTAGATTTGGTTACATTCTTTATGGGGAGTTGTACTGGCATGGGTAATCTTTTAACGGAAACCCTGTAGGTAGATACTGTATCCCAAAGCCTGCACTGTGGTAGATGCTAAGTCCGTGTGCACATAGACCTGGTCTGCCCGCCCACTAGCTGCCAGCCATTCAGCTCTGAGGAGTCTTGCTGCCAGCCCTCCGGTGCACATGTCTTGCCTACTTCCCACCCTTGACATCCTCACCTCATCACATCTTTCGTACATTCAGTCTCGCTAGGCTTGCTGCGGACCTCGTCGCACCTGCAATTACCTTTGGTCCCTATCCTTCTCGTCCGCCACACATACTCAGTTTCTTTCTGCCGCCACCCCCATCCACACAGTACTTCTACCTGCTCGCAGACTGCTACCCCGCGAGCCCACGGAGCCCACGACGTCACGACAGCCTTTCGATCGCAACGCCGTCCGCGCCCCTTCTCACCCCCCCCCCCAATTCTTCCAAGGTTCCATACGCACCGTCTCAGGCAAAATGTCCGACAAGGCGGAGGATTCCACTTCCGCCGAGGCTCAGATCACCTTCAAGGTCAAGGCCTCGGGCGACAAGAACCACCAGATCACCATGCCCGAGGCGGCGACCGTCGGCGAGCTCAAGACCAAGCTTGCCACCGAGCAGTACGAGAATATCCCCGTCGAGCGACAGCGCCTTATCTACTCGGGACGCGTTATGAAGAACGAGGACACCTTGGCCTCGTACAAGGTCAAGCCAGGCAACACCATCCACCTTGTCAAGAGCGCAGCCAGCAATCCTGCCCCGGCCCCGAGCGCCTCCTCCTCCTCCCCCGTCCCTCAGGCTGTGCCAAGCAACATGGCAGCCGGCACCTCTGCCAACAACCTCCTGGCCGGCCTGACCGGAGCCCGCTTTGCCGGTCATGCAAATCTGCCCAGCGCCAATATGTTTGGCGCCGATGGAGGTGTAAGGATCCTGCCCCCCTATGCCCGCCCCGGCCAATCTTGACAACCCCGTGCTGACCACTCGCTCCTTGCAGATGGGAGCGCCGCCGAGCGAGGACCAGATGGCAGACATGCTCTCCAACCCCAACGTCGCCCAAGCCATGAACGAGGCCCTGAACAACCCTCAGCTGGTCGACGTCATGATTCAGACCAACCCCATGCTGCGGGACAACCCAAACGCTCGCGAGATCATCCAGTCGCCCTTCTTCCGCAACATGCTCACAAACCCGGAAATGCTACGAGCAGTCGCTCAGATGCGACGATCCATGGGCGGAGGCGCCGGGGGAGATGCTTTCCCAGCTCCTGGCGCAACAGACACGACACCGGCTGATGCTGCCGCCGCTGGTGCCGGCGGAGCAAGTAACGCACAACCCCCGCAGTTCCCTTTCATGATGCCAGGCATGTTTGGAGGTCCTGGTGCGGGTGCGGCCGGGGGTGTTGGTGGCGCGGGAGGCCAAGGCGCCAACCCGTTCGCTGCGCTCTTCAACCCCTTTGGCGCAGCAGCTCCAACTGCCCCTCAGACCGGTGCCCAGGCTGATGGTGCTACTGGCGCTGCTACCGGTGCTACTCAGACGCCTTCCGGCGACAACGCTGCGCAGCGGGATGCCTCTGCGGCCACCGGCTCGGCACCACCTGGCCAAACCGGCGGCAACTCGCCCTCTCAGCCCCCCAACCCGTTTGCCGGGCTGTTCGGTGCGCCACAGGGCGGCGCTGCGAACCCCTTTGGGATGACGCCCGAGATGATGCAGAACTTCATGCAGATGATGAGAGGTACACCACAAGGAGGCGCCACGAACCCCAACCCCTTGGGGATGACACCTGAGATGATGCAGAATTTGATGCAAAATTTCATGGGCGGTGCGGCCGAGCCTGCCGCCCCAGCCGACACCCGACCACCCGAGGAGCGCTACGCTGAGCAGCTTAGCCAGCTGAACGAGATGGGCTTCTACGACTTTGATCAGAATGTGGCAGCGCTGCGCCGCAGCGGTGGTAATGTGCAGGGCGCGGTCAACTTCCTTCTGGGGGGATAAGCATGGGCCGATGGAGGAACTTCAGTCGGTCTGTTCTTGGTTGCTAGTGCGTCTCCACGAAGCATTGCTGGTTGTGGTTGGGGTGGGAGTTCAGGAGTCTTGAATTGCAGGTGGTCGAGCATATGATATCAGGACATAGAGCCTCGGAAATGTTGAGAATCCGGGCCCCGGGTTTCCAAGCCTTGCCTACAAACTCTCCACCTTGTCTTGCAATGTAGACAGCGCAGATGTGACGATGACAGGGGCAGAGAGGGAGAAGGCGAGTGAGGAAGGCGAGTGAGGGTCCACTTTCTTCGTGCCGAGACCGCTACAATAGGCTCGCTGCAGAGAGAGACCACCGTAGCGGCCAATACAGTTAGTTGTATGCTCTGAGCCATCCAAGCAGCCAGTTGTGATATGGCAAGTTGCTCCTCGCAAGCCAGCTTTGGAGACTCAAGGCCGCCGCGATCGTCCAGGGACTTCTCAGGGTCTAACCCTACGACTGCCTGCCTGCGTCAGGCTGTTCTCTACAGACCCCAGATTCTCACCCACCCCCTCACACAGGTCGGAACGGTTCAACCTTCCATGGTCGTTAGCCAGCAGTTCGTCGGCCGATACACATGTTGCTACTCGTGACTCGTCTATTTCATTTCTGACGGGATCAAGTTGGACGGAGCAATTTTCCTCCCTATTGGCACCTCCCGGAGTACAATCTTTGTGGAATAGGGACACGAAAATGAAGGTATCAGACCAGGCGTGACCTCAGCATGTTCAAGGGCAAGGGCAAGCAGGCAAGATGATCCAGGGCATCTTCTACGCGCGGTTTTTCCCTCAGGAAGGTCAGTAAATGCAGTGACTCCCATGGATTATGAGACATTTCTCAGGCTGAGACGCATATCAGGAACCAAGATCGTTGCCCAGTCGCCCCCAGGGTGCATCGTGCCAGAGGGGGCGGGTCCTCAGAGGAAGCCCTGTCTGTTCGACTTTGATGTGATGCAGGAGTACATCATCCCGCGCAAGGCCTTCTTCAACCGCTTCGTCGCGGTCAATGAGCCTGAGGGCAAGTACACAGTGCTAGGTCTGCCTGTGGCCATTGCCCATCCCAAATACCAGCGTAATGAGTTTATCTTCAACTTTGGCCTTGTGGTTGTACGTCTGCTTGCCCAGTCCCCGGTCCCTCACTCTGTCCTGTCCTGTCCTGTCTCGTAATCACAAGCTCTTGGACGAGAGCGAGGACAAAGACACACCCCCTGGAGCTCGGCTCTGAACATTTCTGACCCAAGACGAGCATGCTGCAGGAGAGCGATGTGGACCAGATCCCCTATGAGAGGGTTGTGCGGCGGCTTGCAGTCACGTTCGCCGAGATGGAGAAGCAGAACGAGTATTTAAGCCGCGACCAGAGCGGGAGCAACGACGCGGGGAGACGGCCGATTGGGAGCCTCTTGGAGATCATCAAGGAAGATCTGAATAACTACGGCGAGTGTATGATCCCAGTGGGTATGTACCCCCTCCCCTTCTCAGTATACTGTTTGCGCTCCTGACGCCTAGTGTGCAAAGACGACGCCAACACCATCAACATGAAACTGTTCCCACACCACCGGCCCCCGCCAGAGGTCAAGGGCTGGCACGTCCCAGTGGCCAAGATGAAGTTCAGCGAGGTTGTCGACCCAACCTGGGACCTGACGCTGCAGAAAGTGATCACGCACATTGATGGCGTGAGCGACGTCCGCCGCATTTCCTTCAACGCCGACGTGAGCCTGGAGCTCACCAAAATCGCCCTTCGCCACCTTGTGTACTACGATACCATCCTGCTGCTGGACATTTTCTTCTTCAGCTCCTGTTACGCGCCGAGGCCGGGCATTCACGACTTCGTGACGGACGTGAGCGCCAACGACGGGTACTACACCACCACTGCGGACTCTACCACCGTGGGCGGCCCCGGCGGCGCGGACGGCCCCGCGGCGGCGGGTGGGCCCGGGATCGGCGGCGCGGCAGGCGGGGGCATCGTGGACGAGTGTGCCAACTATGTCTGCATCATGTCCTCAGGCCAGCGCGTCTCCGACTACCAGCTCATCAAGCTCATGACAACGTTCTGTGTCGGCCGGACGGTGGGCGAGTGGCTGCGGCTGCACATGGACGCCGGGTTCGACGTCCTGCGCCACGTCGACGTGCGGCGGCTGGTCCAGTTTGGGGTCATCAAGGGCTTGCTATACAGGGTGCACAAGTATGTGGTCTCTAAGCAGTATCTTGCGGCCCTTGCCACAGGACAGAGTCGGCCTCTGGCGGCGCGGGATGGGCGGGCCGCCGGGGATCCGTTGCAGAGATACATGGACGGGTGCCACAATTTTGATCAGGTCATCACGGAGCAGAACCTGACGGATGGGGAGATAATGGAGAGGCTAAAGAGCTTTCCCGGCCCGACGGGGGATCTGACCGTCTTGTACCGCTGAGTAGGAAAAAGGAAATGGCAGACCTTACTGTTGTGAGTGGGTATATTGCACTATGATGTCTAGTCTAGTCTGTAATGTTGTACATACCGGCAAATTGCAAAGTGGCGCATGACATTACCACATGCACGTCGGCCGAAGCACCTGGCTGCTCAAGTCCTTCTCCGCTGCGAAGTTGAAGACGTGCAGTGCTAACGCTCGTCACAGCATCGGGCGTCGCATCCTCGCGGAGCGGACTACCACTCATATTCATCGCTCGTCTGCGACCGGATCTGACCGTTTGTCCGTCCGCTTGACATCTCCTTCATTGTCCGCTCGAGTTTCTCCAGCTGGTGTCGTGAAGTTGGCATGAAGGCCTGTGGAGCGATGGAAGGCTTTGTCTGGCGGGGCTTACCTTCTGCAACATTTTCGCTTTCCCCAGACCCGGCGACTCCAGCATCTTTGTCCTTTGGCTTGGCCATCTCTTTAAGTCGCTGCATCGCTTTGCGGAACTTGCCCGTATTAGGCTGTCCAGGATACTCCCATCCCAGTCTGGTCCATATCTTGTCGGCTATAAATTCGATGCAGCGGATGTTGTGTTTGCCCTTGCGTAACAGAAGAACTCGACCGTCAATGAGGAACCTCATATTGGTTTCGAGGTCCCACGTCTTGGCGGGAGTGAATTGCAGCTGGTCGTTGTTCATGCCCACGTTTGTGGGGCCCTTCTGCCCTGGAGAACCGCCGATATACATGCCTCCATTCTTGATATTTCTGTCGGCATCGGAGACACTCTGTGCAAGACCCGCCGCATAGACGATGCGCGGAAGTGTAAGTCTGAGGACGTGCATGGGTAGCTTCACGTTTATCCGTGGCCTGTTGCTATGATTTGTCTGTTCAGGATTGGCCACATACTGCGAGGGGTCCTGAGGCAGGCCTGATGGAGATGTCGATGGTGCTTTGCCACCATAAACAGCCTGATGTTGTGCCTGGGTCTCCGTCGCGACCTTTTGTCCGTGGACCAGCCAGATGACCTCGTAGGCCAAGAGATGTTGGGCAACTCGCTTAGGTGGGTTGGCTTGGTGCTCTTTCATCACCTCCGATATCTTGCTGAGAGGGTGGAACGTAAATAGCTTCAGGAGATTTTCCACTTCGTCGTCTCGACGCCTGACCAAGTAGCCGTAGAGGTCATAAGGTGTGGTCTTGAAAGGGTCGAGCCAGAGGGCATTGCCAGCGCTTTTTCCAAACTTGGCCCCCGAGGAGTCGGTAAGGAGCGGCACTGTGAATCCAATGGGTTGGTCAAATTTACCGTTGGGGAGCTTTTCACCCTCGGCGGGTTCGTTCTCGACGCATGCTCTGACGCAGGTGGAGCCTGTGAGGATGTTGCCATACTGGTCTGAGCCTCCGACCTGCATCTGGACACCATGCTGTTTGAGCAGCTCGTACCAGTCCCAGGCTTGCATCATTGGATAGCAGAACTCGGCGAAAGACATTCCCGAGCCATCGTTTAGCCGATTCTTCACGTTGTCGCGCGACAGCAGAGGCCCCATCCTCATCTGGGTCCCCAAGCGTTTCATCACGTCTATCATCGGCAGCTTGAGCCACCAGACGTTGTTGTTGACGACACCACGGCGCCAAGCCCACTGCTTCTCGAATCCAAACCTCGAGGCAGCCTGTTCGACATGCTTCCAGATCGTGACAAGTTGGTAGTGGATAGTGGCAAGATTCTGGATGAGGTCTTTCCTCGCCAGCTGCGGACGGCTCTCAGTCCTGCCTGTGGGATCTCCAACTCGGGCGGTTGAGCCTCCGATGAGGGTGAAGGCGCCGTATCCATGCATGTACATCCAGAACAGCGGCATAAACGGCAAGAGGTGACCAAGATGGAGGGAGCTGGCTGTTGGGTCCACTCCCGCGTAGGCGCTGATCCGTTTTCGCCTCATTGTCTCGCGTATATGCTCCTTTGTGCTGTTTTTGTTAGACAGGTTTGAGCGCAGTGTGCAGACCGGGCCGAACAAGAGGCACACGGTGATTACCTACCCTACAATGTCTTTTATGAAACCCCCTGTCCTCAAGCTCGTCGAAGAGGTGCTTCGTTGTCCCTGCCTTTATCTCCTTTCCCTGGGCTTCCCAGGCCTTCTCGGCATCTTTTTTCTTCTGGAGAAACTTCTGGCCGACCCATCTTCTCTGGGAGGGTAGTGGCGATAAGGGTCTTAACTTCAAACCTGAAGTCGACTTCACTCTCGCAATCAGACCCAGACCCAGATCCAGACCCAATCTCCGACCGTTGTGGCACAACATGGCTTGAGCTGGGAGAAGGGTCGGCGAACGGAGCATCGGAGCCATGACTGGTCCCGACCGACCAGTGCGGCCTACAAATTTGAGAAGCAAGATGTAGCAGGTTTCTTCCCAGAAGGGAGAGTCGGGTTTGACTGATTAGTCCATGAGAAAAGACGGCCCTGACAAAGTGGTGTGAATCGTCTTCGGGAGCCCAATGTGGTGTTGTGCTGCCGCTGCGCCGCTGCGCCGCTGCTCCAGAAAATTCTCGCAAGGAAGGCTTATCGACAAGAACTGGCTGGGTCGGCAGGCAAGCGGGATGGGTCTGGGTTTACTCAAAGGTCTTGTATGCGTGCATACTACCTACCCAGCATACATCTGATAGCCAACACAGCAGATGTTAGATGCTTGAGCAGCCACTGCTCGGCAGAATCTATGCTGTAGCTGAAGAATGCCGTAGAGCTCGGCAAACCGTCAGTTGAGAGGGTTGCTGCTCAGGAACCGCCGGTACTTGAACTGCAAGTACGGGCTGTTGAAGCACATGTGGCTTGTTCCATGGTGCGATCCATGGCCAGTGCGCATGCCCGCTACTTGGTACTAGCACGCAGCAAAGGCAGCTGGCCTTGGACCAATCGCAGAGCTGCTGATTGTAAAAGGTACTTGGGTACTTACGGAATACTGAGGACCAGGTCGGCTTCGCCTCGGCAACTTGGTAATGACATCCTCCAAACTCCGACCTCGATCGAGACCCTCGCCGTCACCGCAACGCCCGACCAACCTTGCATCCTGCCGTCAACACTGACTGCGACGCGCCGACAAGTCTGAAGAACGATGGCATCTACCGCTCGTCCGGCTCTGCTGCGGCAGACCGCCGCTGCCTCACGATCCATGGCACCTTCGACCCGGGCTGGCCCGTCGATGCTCTCCAAGTCCTTGATGAGGCCAAGCACCCAGTCCTCGCCGAAGCTCAGCATCGTCCAGGCCACAGCCTTCCATGCGAGCAGCCGCAGAAATCTGCTGCCTCCTGGGCCCCGTATGTTTGCTCGCGCTACCTGCGCCAATCTGTCTCCACCACCACCACCACCGCAAATTGACTTCTAACCGTGCTCTGTAGAGATCATCCGCGGCAGCGTCAACGAGCCCGCGCCTGTCCCTGATCCATCTCCATCTCACGGCCACTACCACTGGACCTTTGAGCGTGGCATGGCCGCCGCCCTAGTGCCGCTCTCAATCGCACCCTTCGCCGCCGGCTCGTTAAATCCCACCTTGGATGCCCTCCTCGCAACCACCCTGCTGGTCCACTCGCACATGGGTGTCCAGGCCATCATCATCGACTACGTTCCCAAGAAGAGATACGCCAACTTGCGCAGAGCTAGCCACTGGCTTCTGAACGCGGCAACCATCCTGGCCGGCATAGGACTGTACGAATTCGAGACGACAGACGTTGGCTTGGTCGAGGCCACCAAGAGGCTTTGGCGAGCATGAGAAAGCGGCATTGGTCGGGAAATAGAGTGGCTGTAGAATGTATGGTTAGCAGGGCTCACGGCGGTTCGTTGCGAGCTTTGGGCGCGAATACAACTGTATCAATGCAGTCGCAGTCTGGCCTAAATTTTTAATGGAGGTGCTCGTCTTGAATTATGGTTTTCGGGTGCGTCGGCCTGTTTAAGCTGACCTTTAGACCATGACATGGAATTGTCCCGGCATTCTTCCGAGTTGTCAACCCTCTTTCGCTGTTTATCCATTTCCCGAGTTTCGAATACATCAGCACGTGTCGTTGTCTTACAGCATCGAGGTTAGCTCCTCACACATTTCTGTAAACACTGCTGCTCAGCCAGTGACGCGGAACTCTCTCCAACCATCTTCAGTTCTGAGCACGTGTTTCTGACAGAGGTGGTTTTCACGGCCCAGATGACAGGAACCTTGGGTAGGGTTCATATCATCAAATGACACGCCACGAAAAACATGCAATTACTCACCTAGTATGTAGGAGGCTGAGACCATGTGGCTCATCCCGCTGTGTTGGGGCGTGCGTACAGAGCATCCAACGGAGGACCACCCTTTCGTCGCCAAATGCATGTGGAATCATGAAAGTCTTGTCTTTATTATGATTTCATCGTGAACAGACTGAGAGAACCCAGGACTAGTGCAGCTTTCCGAATTTTTCATCGTGAAATCAATAAACTTGATTGATACGTTGGCAACCGAGACCCTCTACCGAATCTGAAAAGAGATCGCGTAGTTGAAAACAACATACAAGGTCCACAGAGATAGGAATTTAATTTGGACCAAAAATGACAGGGAGATCATCATAGTGGGTGCTTAAAATACTTTGGTGGAAAGCAGTGTACTACCAACGAGAACGCTGGAAGCCTGTTTGCACGCGGTCCTTGCCCTCCCGCACTATCCAAGAACTGCAACCTATGAGATTGTCCAGTTGTCTTAGGACCAAAACCCAAGCATTCAGTATGGCCGTCACACGAACTCATCTGCTTGGATACGTCCGATTCTTCTTGGCCGAAGCTGGACTTGACCGTGGAAGGCAGACCCTTAAAGATACGAGGCCTCGACGAGGAACCCAACTGTAAACTTGGTGTGGCGCTCGATTGCATCCCACATTATTGTGCTGTACGACTAAAGAAAGATTAGTATCCTCGCGCCTCTCATTAGCACCGCCCTGCTGACTTCCGACCCTCGCAAAGACTCACATCTGAAGGCGAGTGAATGTAGTGGCTAGAAGTTGACAGCACCTCGTCACATGCATACGCAGCAGCTAGACCACAGGCGTAATCAGTAAGACAAGCGTTCGTTCTCGGAACCAAATTGAGGCCTAGGGTCATGGACTTACGGAACCCGTTGGAGTAAGCCGAGTGATGATCCGAGCAGCCATACCCACAAGCATCAGTCGACGTCTTGAGCCCTGTATATCCCTCGGCCACCCTCCTCACATATGCAGTCAAGCCAGAGTCCACATAGTCGGTATACACTGCAGCAAAAGGAGTCAGCCAACAAAGAACTGAGGAAGAAGTTTCATCTGGATATAGGGAGGACCAGGCCACAATATGGCCATGGCTTGTTTTGAAACCTGCAGCCTAACAAGACCTTTGAGGTATAGGCTACAGATGGGAAATCGATTTCCCAGAGAGGGTAAAAATTGTGTCCGGAAGCTGCTTACTACTAATGGCCCCACTTGGGCTACACCCTGCCATGTCCTGATTCATCATAGCCAGAACCTGCTTGTTAGCGGTCTTGTAAGACTGGAATATGTCCTTACTGCCCAGAAGCCCGCCCTCCTCGCCAGCATAGAAGTGGAATTCTAATGTGTCTCGGGGCGCGAAGCCCGCCTGGGCGAGGATCCTCAGCGCCTCGAATATGACGGCCACCCCAGATCCGTTGTCGTCCGCCCCCGGACCGCGGGCGGTACTTCTACCGCCCGTGGAGTCAAAGTGCGCTCCCACAATGACCAGAGAGTCGGATGAAGAACCGGGGATCTTTGCGATGACTGAGGGCTGGTTGAAACAGTGTGAGAACTTGGTGACGCTTATGCTCGGGTTGGCTGCAGCAGCGGATACAACTACACAGAGTCTGGATTCAGCGACGCTCAAGATACCTCCGCCTGGGTTCGGACATGCCAGGCCTGACCGCCCCCTCTTGCTTCACTCGGAGAGACTGACCTTGGTCATACAGCCAGGTGGAGGCCTCAGTGCCGTAAGTTGACCTGTAGTAGCGATTGTAGAAACTGAAGAAGCGCGTGAGTGTCGGTGCATTGTGTGGGTGATTAGGGGTACCAAATGAGCAACAACACAGTTCAATGTGGAGGATGATGACGAGGATGAATGAAGCAAGTACATACTCGGTCAGGGTTTGGAGGAAAGTCTTTTGGCCGCTCGCCGAGATTTTGGATATCAGAGCATTGGCCTCAGTCTGGTTGGTGGCTCGGCGTTGACGGATAAGTGACCGCCGCGGCTGAGAGCGCAGAGGATCGTGAAAGTGTCGATGCCACTTCAAGGTCCTGCTCAGGTAAAGGCGCGAAGTCAGCCCCTAAAGCATTCCGAATCACGGCTGTGGCCACGTCCGCAGCTCGGCTCACCCACGCTCATATCAGTGACATCGACAAAATTGACGCCTTTGGCCACATAGTTCTCGATCTTGTCATCTTCACGGACCCAAGTGCCAGGATCGGACTCGGAGACCTTGATCAGGCGCAGAGCAGCGTCTGCAGTCACCCAAGTCTCAGCATGGCTGAACGGGCTTGCGGTAGCGACGCCTGCCACGGCGAACAGGAGGCCACAGACACAGTGGAAATGCATGTCGCCTGGACTAGAGACGGTGCACTGTGTATAGCCAAGCAGGAGAATCCTCAATGTCCCAGGAGCAGGTATACAGGAGTGATCCCATGGGCGCCCGCTCAAAATAAAGTCATCCGGCGCCCTCGTTCTTCTGGTCATCCGCTCGATTCCCTTCGTGCCAGGTGGACTCCAGATAAGACGACAGGCCAGATGGTCTGTCGGTCAGTCTTGGCTCGCAGCCAAGCTCTGCCATTGAGGGGGGCCTCTTTCAAGATGGGGAAGGTCCATTCATATGGGAGACATTTTCCCAATGTTACGCAGGCCGGACGTCTCCCTATCGAGCCCTGCCGATGCTCTCTGCTCGAGCTTCCACAACGCTGCTAGCCCGCGCATTTGTGTCTGTGGGTTGCAGCCAGCGATTGGACGAGGCCGCCTTAAGCCACTTCTCCTCATATCCCCATAGCATGAATGCCTCGTTTCGGTCTCAGTCGGGCGGAATCAACGTGCAGCCTCATTCCTGCACATACAGGGTCTCGTATTGGTTCTGGACTGATGTGTCGGCTCCTTATCACAACATGCGCAAAAGTAGAGCCAAGCAACAACTTCCCCAGCCCTCAAGTAAGACTGCGGGCCCGTGGATGGAGAAACGGCCCACCCCTTTGACCACTTCAAATGGTTCAAAAAGGTACTCTCCCCAAGTCAACCCGGCACCACATGATACAACCACCACTTGAAGCTCGCCCATTCTCAAAGATCCCTGACCCAAATAGCACGCCGATGACTCCGTGGGATGCATTTCAAACATGTGAGGCTACCCAGGCCGCCTTTACCCAAACTCCAGAACAGCCCGTGCTCCTCCTATAATAAACGGAAAAAGACCCCTGCCCGCCCCTCCGGGCCGCCGACATTGTTGCAATTTTCGAGCCAGATATGGTGATGATACAATCGATAAAACACCCACTCTCTCAGGGAGACGCGAGTTCCGCACGGCCGTGGATATAACCAGATGCTGCAGACGTCACACTCCTCTGCGGTGATTCCAACTCCGCTGGTTGGAACCCAAAGCTCGATGGCGGTGACCAAAACGAGGGCGTCATCGGGGTCGAGCGCAGCGGGTCGCTGGATTTTGGTGTGCTAGCACGGCTCTGGCTGTTATAGTATTCTCCAAACATCCCATACAGGTGCTTCTTCTCCTTCCCGTCCGACTGCAGCTCGAACGGACCTCGTATCATCTTCCCATTCACGCTCCGGGCCATGGACGCAATGCTTCCATCGCCACTGCCACTGAGGTCGAGGTTCGGCGGTGGCGACCGGAATCTCCGGTCTTTTGGTGGTGGTGCGGGCGGTGGGATCGGCGTCTCGATCTGCGCTCTTATCCTCTGCTTCCTCCGCCGAAGGTAGAGAAACAGCCACGCCGAGATGGCGATAATCAAAGCTGCAGCTGCCGAGCCGACACCTATCCCGATTGCTTGATTGGTGCTAAGGGCCCTGTGTGTGGTCGATCCTGAACCTGACGTGCTGGTGGGAAATGTGATCGACAACGTGGCTGTGTCTGAAGCTGCCAGTGTCACAGAAGTAGAAGGCAAGGTCTATTGAGGCATGTTAGCAAGTGGCCCATGTCTGAATGACTCCATGTCTACGCCTTGTCGTGCACTAACTGTCGTGGCAACATGGCTGTTGAAATCCCCCGACCTGAACCGCACTGCTACGCTGTTCGCTCCTATGCCCACGCCTGAACTCTCCGTCGTCGACTGTATCAGGCTTGTGCTCCCTTCAGAGATAGCTGTGATTTGCGCGATGACGATATCCCCTTCGAATGTCGTGGTGCATCCTAGATATGTTTCAGACGCGCCGAGGCCATTTACAGTACCCGCGCATGTATAAGCAGCAGCCGTGGGGCAACATGTGTAAGCTGTCTCTGTCGCCGTGCTTGAGACTATATCGGTGCTGGAGCAGGCAGGCGTATAGCCGCTGGGACATAGACCTGGTGAATAGTACTGAGATGGCGACGCATCGTAGCCACTGGGAAAGCACTCTGTCCTGCTGCCAAGCGGGCCCTGCTCGTAATAGTACCTATCCGTTTCTGACCATATCTGGTAGAGGCCTGTGGCTGTCGTACAGCTTGATGGCGCTGTGAAGGTGGTCGTCAAAGGGCCGGCGTTCGACATCATGGCAGTACAACCGGTCCTCTTCGCCGAGTCCTCAAAACGGCATTGTGTGTTGCGGACGTCAAGGCTCTGTCACGCTGCGTAGTGATGAAGAGAAAGCGAGGGATTGACGTCCCTTGCAGGTCGAGGAAGGTAAGCAAAGACGAGCAGGAAGGATGTGGCGTGGGAAGGTGGTTACACCGCGTCACTACATATTGACAGCTGACTAGGACTTTCCGCCCCAACAGCTAACCCGCAAGTTGCGGATCAGAAATGCCCAAGCGAGCCCGGCTAGATTTGGCACGCAGCCTTCGCGCCAATGATGGCTGTCGATTGCTATTGCAAGGCGATCGGGCTGCATGAGGCAGAGCCTTGTCCTGTTGGTTGTACGGCGCTTTGAGCCGAATCGAAAGCCATCATGTTGGTGGCGTGGCAGGGTGATGGCTCTGGGAGCAGAGCCGGGGGGGGGGGGGGGGGAGCTCTGGTTTCGCGATGGTAGGATCGAATTATTGGATTATCATCGATCCCTCGTGGGGAAGCAAATGCTCGTCAGGGGCGCAGCAAGCTGTGGGTGGCCAACATGGCGGCAAGCTGTGGATATTGCTCCGCAGCTCAGAGCCTCCGGTTCCTTTTCCTACAGAAAGAGGAGTAACTACGGGGGTTTGGAGCGATGAATGTCTAAAAAGTTAGATTCCCACTACCTGCACCTTACCATCTATCCGCCATACTTAACAACCCTACCTACGCGTTATTTTTATCGCAGCTCTTTATAATTATTTACCTATTTATAATTAAATTTTTAATTAATTTTATTTTTAAATATATATAATTTAATTTAATTATATCTTTTTATATTTTATAATAATTATAAGCTTATAATTATTAATATATTTTTTTAATAATTAAGTATCTTTATTTATAAATAAAGTTATTTTTTAATGTTTTTAAATAATAAAAATACTTAAAGAAATTATAAAAATAAAAAAAAACTTATTATTTAAGTTATTAATTAATTTTATATTTATAATTTTAATAATATATATATATTCTTTAATAATACTTAAATAAATAAAAATATATTCTTTAATATTTTATTTTTATTTATTATAACTTTTCTTTATTTATTATATTTTATTATTATTTATAATATTTTAATTTTATTTATTATATTTTATTATTATTTATAATATTTTAACTTTATTTATTATATTTTATTATTATTTATAATATTTTAACTTTATTTTTTATATTTTATTATTACTTATAATATTTTAACTTTATTTATTATATTTTATCTTTATTTATAATATTATAACTTTATTTATTATATTTTATTTTTATTTATAATATTATAATTTTATTTATTATATCTTACTTTTATTTATAATATTTTAATTTTATTAATTATTAATTATTATTATTTATTATAAAATATTAATATTATTTATAAATAATTTAATATTTAATATACTTTAAAGTTTTTTATATAAAAAGTAAAATAATAATTTTTAAGCTTATATTTAAATATATTTATTATATTTATATATTAACCTTATATATTTTTAATTTTTATAAGTTTAATAAAAAAAATAAAGATTATAAATAATATATATTTATTATAAGTAAAGAACTTTATTATAATACTTAAACCTTTTAAGAAATAAAAGATTTAAAAGGTATTAAAAAAGGTTATAATTAAAAAGAAAGATTTTATAAAAGGTGGAAAGGCTTTAAAAAAGAAGGAAGCTATTAAGAATAATATAATAATACCTTTCCTTATAAAGAAAGAGAAGGGAATTCTTAATATATTAAGTTTATTTAGCGAAATACTTATAATTAAAGATAATTATATTATTTTTAATATAAATATATATTTTCTTTTATTACTTTTTAAAATTTATAAAGCCGCTTTTTATAAAAGAAAGGCTAATTAATTTATAAAAAAGTAATAAATAATTAATTATTTCATATTATATTTCTTTATTTATTTTATTTCTTTATTTTTATTTTATATATATATTATTAAATACATTTAATATATTAATAATTATTATATTAATAATAATCCTTATAATATTAATATTTGCTTTGCGTATTATTTTCTTAAATTTTAGCCATTCTTTATTTATATAAGTAATTTTAATTAGCTTTAATAATGCTTATATTACTTTATAAGCTTTAAGCTTTTATTAAAGAAAGAAATAATTATATAATAAAGAGTTAAATATATTCTTAAGTTTAATTAATCTTTTAAAATCCTTTATTATTTTATTATAAAACTTTTTTATTTCTAAGGTTAAATATATATTTAAGTTAACTTTATTTACCTTAATAATATATAAAAGCTTTTAAAATGCATTTAAGTTATACTTAATTATATAATTAATTATATAAAGTTCTTTAAGTATTTATAATAATATAATAGATTTCTTTAAATAAATATGCTTATAATTATCTTAATAATAAATAAAGTAAATATTTTACTTTTTAATAAAAGATATAATTTTAAATTAAATTTAAGATATAAAAATATAAAATAATATTAATTTATTTATAAAATAATTATAATTTTATAAGCTTTTATATTTTAATTAAGTAAAATAATTTTAAGAAAAAAGATTAATAATTTTTAAGAAATATATAAATTTACGCTTAAATATATATATTAAAACTTTAATTTATAACTTTAAATATAAACTTACTTATTAAAAGTAATATTTTCTTTTACTTAATTATATTTATTATAATTTAATTTATTAATTTTTAATACTTATATTAAATTTATAAATCTTATTAAAAGTATGTATAATTAAGGGTTTTTTAATTAATAAGCATTATTTTTAATATTTATATTTAAATTAAAGATTATAATTTAACTTTTTATTTTTTTTATTTAAGCTAATATCTTTGCATTTAACTTTATTTATTTTTAAAGTATTTTAAATAATTCCTACCTCTTTATTATATTGCGGCCTTACTTTATATTTATTAATATTAATTATTAATAGCTATTAATAAGCTATAATAATTAAAAAGGTTTTAATATCTTTATTAAATTTAATAGCTATAAATATAAAGCCTTTAATTTTAATTATTTTAATATATTATATTAATATAGTTTATATAGTAAAATTATTATATTTAATATAAAGCTATTATATTTTTCTTAAATAAGCATTAATTACCTTATAAACTTTAAATTTAAAATTTCTTAACTTGCAATACTTATTAATACTTTATATATAATATAAATTAAAATTTATAAATTTTAATTATTATTTTTATAATGCTTAATAATATAGGTTTACTTAATTAAGATAACTTTCTTTTAATATATTAAATATAAGATATATAGAAAGGTAAATATTAGCTTATTAAGAAAGATATATAAAGAGTTAATATTAAGTAAGGCGAAGAAAAAGGATTAATAAATAAGTTTATTTATTAAAAAAGGTAAGGGTATTTATAGCTTTATTTTCTTTTTATATAAGCGTTTTATAATAATAAAGCTTAAGTTTTGTATAAATTTTAATAAGAGTTTTTTTTAATATTTTATAGCTATTTTATATAAAAAAGGCATATATATATTTATTAAAGAGTTATTAATAAAAGAAATATATTTAAATTTAATAGCAAAGCTATAAAGTATTATATATATATTTATATTAAAATAAAAGACTTTATTTAAATATATATATATAAAAAGTTTATTATAATATATTATATTTATAATTATTTTTAAAAATAATATAAATTTAAATAATGTTAAAACCTTTTTAATAAAGTTAAGTAATTAGCTTTTAATTATTTTAAATAATATATTAAAAATAACTTTTTAAAGATATTTTAAGTATTTAAAAATAAGGTAAGATAAGTAAATAAATATAAATATTAAAGAAATAAGATATTAATTAAAATGGTTTTATAAGGAGGAATGTAAAAAAGAGAAAATAATAAGATAAATAAAAAAAATATTAAGGAATATTTAAAAGTTAGTATTAAAGGAAAAAAGAGGAAGGGTATAAAGATATATACATTAATATAAGAAAAGCTAAAGATTAATATTAAAATATATATATTATAATTTAAATTATAATAATTTTATTTATATATAATATATTATATCTTAAAAATTAATTTATATAATTATATATTTATTAAATATTTTATATTATATTATAATATATTTTAAAATATTAAAATAATTTAAACTTTATTATTATATTTATTAAATTATAATTATTATTATTAAGTTTAAAGTTTTATATAATAAAAGTTTTATAAATAGTTTATTTTAATATTAAATATATTAATTAAGTTAATTATAAATTTAAATATAAAAAGGATATAATATAAATTATTATTAAGCTAATTATTTTATTAAGCTAATTATTTTTTTACTTATTACTTTTATTTATTTTTTTTATATATTTTTTCTTAATATATCTTATAATAAATAAAATAAAAGAAAGTAATATTTAATTTATTATTTAAGTTATTAAATTTAATTTAAAATTAAGTATTTAATATATAATTAAAAAATATTATATTCTTTATTTTATTATTTAAAATAAAATAATTAATTAAATTATATAATATAATATTTATTTTAATTATAAAAAATTAATAAAAATAAAAAAAGAAATATTTATTTAATATATATTTAATTAAGATTTATAAAGATATTTATTTATTTTTAAGAATATTAAAAATATAATAAATTTTTTACTTTATAATTATAATAATAATAATATTAAAATTAATTAAATAATAAAACTTATTATATTAAAATTATATTTTAAAATATATATTAATTATATATATAATTATAAAAAAACTTTATATAAAGATTTAAATATAATAAATATATAATTTAATTTTATATTTAATATATATAATAAATATAAAATTATTAATTATAATATTTATAATTTTAATAAAATAAGCTTTATAATAAATATAAGTTTTTTTAAAATAATAATTATATATTTAAATTAATAAAAGTAAATAATATTAATATAACTTAAAAATTAATAATAAATAATAAATATTAAATTTATTAATAAAAATAAATAATATAATTTATTATTCTTAATTATTAAAATTAAAATATATTTTATAAATTAATATATTAATAATAATCTTTTATTTAATTAAGCTATTAATATAAGCTTAAATAAATAAATAATTAATTAAATTATTATAAAATAAATTAAATATTTTAAAAAATATATTATATTATATATAAAGAATATTTATTAATTATTAATTTTAAATAAATATAAAAGTTATTATTTTATAAATTTTAAATAATATTATAAATTTAAGAATATTATTATTTTTTATATATTTCTTTATTTATTTTATTTATTTTAAATATTTTAATTATTTAATATTAAGTATTTTAATTTATTAAAATAAATATATAATATAAAAATTTATTAATTTAATTAAATTTAAATTATATATATTAATAAAATAAAATTCTTTTTTATTTTTTATATTATATGTAATAAGATTCTTAAATAAAAATTATTAAAAAGGGTTTTTAAAAAGTAAATTTAATATCTTTTAATTAAAAAGTTATATTTTTTAAATTAAATATTAAAATTTAAATATTAATAATATTATTAAGCTTTTTAATATTATTTATATTTTAAATTTCTTAAATATTATATAATTTAATATAAATAATTTTTTAATTAATTTTAATTAAGAAATAAATTTCTTATTATTAAAAAAGCTTTTTAATATTAATTTTATTTATTATTAATTAATTTTTAAAAAATATATAATTATTAACTTATATAATAATTTTATTAAATTTAAAAAAAATAAAATTCTTTAAAAAATAAATTTAATACTTTTTAAATATTAATTAATTAAAAAAAAATATTTATAAAATAAAGAAATATTTAATATATAAAAAGTTAATTAATTAATTAAAAAAAAAAAATGATTAATTAATAAAATAAATAAGATTATTAAAAAATTAATTTATAATAAATTAAATAAAAATAATAATATAATAATTATAATAAAATTAAATATAATATATAAATATATAAAAAAATATAAAATTATTTATAAATTTTAATTTATTTAATTTAATTAATTTTTTTTATTATAATATTATAATTTTAATTATTATATTAATAATATAAAAAAGTAATTAATTTAATAAAATAATTAATTTAATAATAATTTATATTAATATATATATATAATATAAATTTAAATTTATTATAAAATAATAAATTATAATAATTATTATAATTTATTTTTATTTAATTATAAATTATTAAATAAAAATATATAATTAATTAATATAAATTATTTATATATATATTTATTTATATATATATATTTATTTTTAAATTAATAATTTTTATTAAATAAATATATATATTTAAAAAAAAAAAATAATATTTATATTATTAAATTTTAAATATATAAAGCTTTTTATATTTATAAATAAATTATTTATAAATAATAAATATTTAAACTTATAATTTAAATTTATTATTATATTAATAATAAAAATAAATTATATAAAGTTTAAATTTAAAATTTATAAAATATAAAAAAATAATAAGAAATATATTAATTAATAATTATATAATATAATATTAAGTTTTAATATTAATATAATATTTTATATAATTTTAAATTAAATTATAATATATTTAAAAATATATATATTTTTAATTATATTATATATAAATTTTTAATTTTTTTATAATTATTTAATAAAATTAAATATAATAAATAAAAAAAAAAATTAATAATTAATATTATATTTTTAAAAAATATATATATAAAAAGAAATATTTTAAAAATATAATAAATTAAAAAAAAAATAATTTTATATATATATATATAATATAATATATTATTTAATAAAATAAATTATTTAATAAAATATTTTTTATTAATTTATTAATTTTTATTAATTTTAATATTTATTTAATATAATTAATTTAATAAAAATTAATATTAATTAATATTAATTATTTTAAATTATTTATTTTTAATTAATTTTATTAATTTAAAATAATAATAATATAATATATTATTTAATTAAATACTTTTAATTAATTTATTAATTTAATTAAATTTAATATTTATTTAATATAAAAGATTTAATAAAAATTAATGTTAATTAATATTAAATATTTTAAATTTTTTATTTTTAATTAATTTTATTAATTTAAAATAATAATAAAGTTATAATATAAATTTAAAAATTTAAAATTTTAATAAATAAGTTTATATTTAATATAAATTATATCTTTATTTTTTATATTAATTTTATATTATTTTATTTATTTAATTATTTAATATATTAAAAATTAATATTTATTATATTAATTTATTTAAAAAAAAATTATTTTAATTTTTTAAATAATTAAAAGATTTAAAATAAATTATAAAAAATTTATAAATATATATAAAATTATATAAATCTTTTTTATTTTTTATATATATTATTAAATAAAATAATAAATAATTAATCTTATTATAAGAAAAATATATATTAATAATTATAAATTTAAATTAATTAAGAAATAAATATTTATTTAATATATATTATTAATTAAAATATATAAAGTTTTTTAATATAATTTTTTAATATAAAAAATATAATTAATTTTATATTATTATTATATAATAATAAGCTTATTAATAAATATTAAGTTTAATATTTTATAAATATATAATTTAATTTAAAAACTTAATTTAATTATTTTTATAATTATTAAAAAGCATTTTATAAAAATTTAAAAATTATTAAATATTTATTTAAAATTTTTTATAATATAATAATTAAATATAAAATTATAAATAATAATTTATATAATTTTAATAAAATTAATTTTATAATAAATATATTAATTATATTAATAATTATTATATATATTAATAAATATAAAAAAATTAAATTAATATAATTTAAAAATTAAAAATAAATAATAATTATTAAATATATTAATATAAAGAATTAATATATTTTATTATTTATAATTATTTAAAAAGCTTATTATTTTATAAATTAAGTTATAAAATTAAGTTTTTTAAAAAATTAAATTATTAAGCTTATTTTAAATAAATAAATAAATAATTAAATTAATTTAAAATAAATTTAATATTTTAAAAAATATATAAAATATTAAATAAAAAATAAATATTAAATATTTATTTTTAATAAATATAAAAATTATATATTAATAAATTTTAAAAATTATTATAAAATAAATAATATTATTATTATTAATATATTATTACATTTATTTTATTTATTTTAATTATTAAATATTATATTATATTTATTTTTAAAATATATATATAATAATTAAATTAATTTTTAAGAAAATTAGAAAATGTTTTAAAAATTTAAATTTTATTATTTTTAAATTTAATATTTACTTATATATATTAAAATAATTTTTTTCTTATTTTTTTTAAAAAATAAAAGTTATAAATATTATTTAATATTTAATAAATTATTTAATAATTAAGTTTTATTAAAAATAAAATCTTAATATATTAAAAAAGCTTTTTTATATTAATTATTTTAATTATTAATTAATTATTAAAGAATTTATAAATAATAATATATAAAATTATTATTTTAAAGAATTAAATTTATATATTTAAAGATATAAATATAATATTTATAAAGTATTAAAGGATTAAAAAGAATTAAATATAACTTAAAAAAGTATTTAATATTAAAGATTTTTAAGTAATAATTAAAAAAAAATAAAAAAAGTAATTAATTAATAAAATAAATAATAATATTAAAAATATAATTTATAATAAATTAAATAAATAATATTATAAAAATTATAATAAAATTAAATATAATATAAAAATATATAAAAAAAAAGAAAAATTTAATAAATTTAATTTTAATTATATTATAATAAATTTAAGTTAATTAATATTAATTAATATAAATATATTTATTTTAATAATATATAATAAATTATATTTTTAATAATATAATTAATATTATTTAATATAATATTTATATTTTTTATTAAAAATTATTTAATTTAAATTTATATTATATTTATATTAATTTTTTTAAATTAATAAAATTAATTAAAAATAAAGAGTTTAAAATAATTAATATTAATTAATATTAACTTTTATTAAATTTTTTATATTAACTAAATATTAAAATTAATTAAAATTAATAAATTAATTAAAAGTATTTAATTAAATAATTTATTTAATTAAATAATATATTATATTAAATATAATAAAAAATATATATAAAAAAATTTAATAAATTAAATTTTAATTATATTATAATAAATTTAACTTAATTAATATTAATTAATATAAATAAATTTATTTTATTAATTTATAATAAATTATATTTTTAATAATATAATTAATATTAATTAATATTAAGTATTTATTTTTTATTAAAAATTATTTAATTTAAACTTATATTATATTTATATTAATTTTTTTAAATTAATTAAATTAATTAAAAATAAAGAATTTAAAATAATTAATATTAATTAATATTAAATTTTATTAAATTAATTATATTAAATAAATATTAAGGTTAATAAAAATTAATAAATTAATAAAAAATATATTATTAAGTAATTTATTTTATTAAATAATATATTATATTTCTTTATTTATTTATTTTATAAACTTTATTTATAAAATTTATTTAAATTTAATTAATATTAAATATATATTTTTTATTAAAAGTTAATTAATTTAAATTAATATTATATTTATAATAATATCTTTAAATAAATAAAATTAATTAAAATTAAGAAATTAAATATAATTAATATTAATTAATATTAAATTTAATTAATTTCTTTATATTAAATAAATATTATAATTAATAAAAGTTAATAAAAGTTATAAAAATAACTTACTTATTAATATAACTTATTTATTAATAAATTATATTATATATATATTATATTTTATAATAAAAATTATTAAATAAATTTAATATTAATATAATTATTATTAATTAAATTATAATTTTTAAATATTTAATATAATATAAAGTAAACTTAAATGAATTTTATAAATAAAATTTATAAAATAAATAAATAAAATAAATAAAAATTAATTATATTATTATGCTTTATAAATAAATATAAGTATTATTATATATATAAAGATGTTAAAACTTAAAAATTTAAATTATAAATAAAAGTTTTATATTTATATTTAAATTTATATATTTACTTTTAAATATTTATATTTTAATATTATTACTTAAATATTATAACTTTATAATTTATTATTTCTTTATTTATTATATATTATATTTATACTTATATTTATATTAATAATTCTTTATCTTATTTTTATTATTATTAATATCTTTTTAAGTTTTTATATTTTATTTTATTAATATAAATTTTATTTCTTTTTATAAATATCTTAAACTTCTTTTATAAATATATAAGTTATTATAAAACTTATTTAATATTTTTATTTTTATAAATGCTAATAATTAATTTTTTAAACTTTTATATTATTTTTTTAAGCTTTATATTTTTATAATAATATTTTTTTATATAAAGTAAATAAAAGCTTATTTTTAATTTTCTTTTTAAGCATTTTATTAATAATTTAAAGTTAATTATGCAATTCTTTATTTATTATATTATTAATATATTTTTATTTAAAGCTTAAAAATAACTTTATTATTTTATAATACTTAATTTATTTATTCTTTTTAAGCTTTATTATTATTAATTCTTTATATTTTAATATACTTTAATTTAATGCTTATTAATTATAAAGAAATACTTACTTCTTTAATTAAAGTAATAATAATTTATATAAGCTTTATTAATGCGTTTTTTAATATTATTTATATATTTTATTTTAAGTTTTATATTCTTAAGATATTAATAAACCTTATATAATTTAATAATTTTATTAAGTAATATTAAGCTTATAAATATTAAATTAATTAATATAATTCTTTTAATATTACTTAACTAAAAATAAATAAATAATTTTTTATAAATAATATTAATATTTTATAATAAATAATAATAATTAATAATTAATAAAGCTAAAATATTATAAATAAAAGTAAAATATAATAAATAAAGTTAAAATATTATAAATAATAATAAAATATAATAAAAAAAAGTTAAAATATTATAAATAATAATAAAATATAATAAATAAAGTTAAAATATAATAAATAAAGTTAAAATATTATAAATAAAATTAAAATATTATAAATAAGGTTAAAATATTATAAGTAATAATAAAATATAATAAGTAAAAAAAAGTAAAAATAAAATATTAAGAAATATATTTTTATTTACTTAAATATTATTAAAAAGTATATATATATTATTATAATTATAAATATAAAGTTTATTAATAATTTAAATAATATATTTAAGATTATTTAAGTAATTATTTTAAATAATAAAGCTATTTATAAGGAATTAATTAAGCTAAGTAAAATTTTTTAAAAGTTAAGAAAATATAATAATAATTATAAGCTTATAATTATTATAATATATAAAAAGATATAATTAAGTTAAATTATATATAATTAAGAATAAGGGTAGTTATAAATTTATTATAAAATAAAGTATTAATTATAAATAGTTATAAGGAGTTGTAATAAAAGTATTATGTAAGTAGGGTTATTAGGTGTGGCGAATAAATGGTGGGGTGCAGGTAGTGGGAATCTGACTTTTTGGACATTTATCGCTCTGGACCGCCACAAGTAACCAACGAAGCTAAACGGCGGGAGAGCCGCGGCAACGACTAGTTGCAGGCGCGCAAGGCGCGCAAGAGACACCACCAATCTCACATTACTATGCACCATCGTGAGGTGCAGCACTCTGGCACCAATCTGGACCGTTGCGAAGGGCGGCGAGGAAGTCCAATGGGGGACTGTGTCGAGTCTTGGCCTCATCTCCCACCACCGGACACAGCAGCCAGGCAGCTTGGCCCCTGACAGCGGGATTCGCAGCTGGCCAATGGCGCATCACGGCATGAGCGAAGGCACGGCGCTTAACCTGGGCGTGGTCCCCACCACAAACAATCCTCTTTTCCTCTTTCGGCCGTGGTGGGCGCCTTGTAATACTCGTCCGTCTCAGGCAGACGTCCATTTCGCCTCTTGAGAGGCTATTAATACCCGGCGCACCGTTATGCCGGTCAAGCGCAGCTTGGGGCCCGGCAACTGATCGTCCAAAGGCAAGACTGGATCTGCTGCTGTACAGTAGTCCACGTCCTCACATCTGAGCCGACAGTAGTGGGTTTGAGGGAGTGGATCGGCACAACCCTGGCGTCTCCCGCGTCTAGCAGCCTATGTTAGGCGGTTGCCTCTCGCTTGACGTGGCCGGGATCTTGTTCCGCCAGCCGCCCTGCGCACAGTACAGACGTGCCTACCGCTGCTTGCCCAACGGTCCTGAAGCTCGTGCATTCGGAGCAGCTCGGCTAGAAGCATGCGGGAACGTGCTAGCAAGGTATATACGCAGCCTTGCTTATTAAGCCGGCCAGAGGGTTGGCTTGACAGGAAACAGTGGCACGCAAAAATTCTGGGTTGAGAGACAGAATCGACGACTTGACGGGACGACAGGGCGCACAGGAAGTGCAGTCGAGAACCAGACACGGCTGTCAACGTTCAACCTCCAAAGCACTCAAGGCCAAGTCTGCCGACCAAAGTGCCTCGAGCCATCTTGTACAAAGACCTCAAAAATCACATCTCATGCATATGCCTAGGAGCGGCTGGCTTCTATGCGCGTGAGATTGAAATCTGCCTGGGACCACGCCAACTAACCTCTCTGCAACTCATCGTGGCCACCCGTAGGGGTGACGTCTCTCTTCCCAAACCGCACACCAATGTCCCTCCTGAAGAACTTCCCAATATTCTTCAGATTCTCATTGATGGTTGCCTTCTCACCAGGGGCTCCAGCGGCGGTAGGTGTCCCGATTCGGTCGGATGCGTCCCGCGCAGCGCTGAGCAGCTTCTCACCCAACGAAGCTGCGTCGAAGCGGCCGCCAGGGCCTGCGGCACCGCTCAGGGCGGAGTTTCCGATGCTCCCGAGACCAGTGCTGCCAAGTCCGGAGGCATTCAGCAAGGGCCCCACAAGAGGCGAGCTTTCTACCAGCTGCTTGTCTGTTCTCGCGACGTCACGGTGAAGAGAAAACAGTTCCAAAAGGTGAGCCTGGTCCTGCTTGCGGACACCCTTGAGCTCAAGGATTTTCTTGAAATTGGTATCTGATCGATCACCAATGTGGATGAGATAGGCCTGAACGAGGCCCTCAGGCGGCGAGGGCCGTACTTGGAGAGTCTTGAGCAAAGGGTCTATACGTGTCATAACTTGGTTGACACGCTTGATGTATGTGGCTGGAGGCTGGTACGAGTCACGGGATGACGATGCATTGTGGTAGCCCAGGAGCTTCTCGAAGTTTTTCGCAAGCGTATACTTGTCGAGAAGCATCTGCAACAGTCAGTGTCCTTCCTCTGCCTTCTTAGCGCGACACACAAGGTGGATGCATCTTACCTGTTCAGCGCCGCCTTCAGAGATGGGGCGGCAAAGCACAATGTTGTTGATATACGCCGTTGCCAGGCGCTCGACGAGATTGTCACAAAACGCCCTCGCATATTGTTGTTTGGCGACAATGGACAGAATCTCTTCGGTCTTGGCGTTCACATGCTGAAGCAGCTCCCCAACGTACGAGCTATGGTCGCCGACGCTTTCCATCTCTCTCCAGTTGGTGTTCTTCATCTCCCTCCACGCCCCCTCACAACTAGCCTCTACCTTGTGGACCAAGGCTTGGATAGCGGCACTGACGACGCCGAGGAAGGTGTCCGCTTGCGAGGACAGGTCGATCTTGGCCGTGAACTCAGGGTCGACCCGCTTCTTGATGTTGTCTTCAAGCTGTACGGTGTTCTGGTGCCAGAAGTCTGCAGTATTGAGAACCAGCACGGTGTCCTGAACAGGTGGGCCTTGGGGCCCGCCCCGTTGCAGGAATCCGAGCAGCACCTGCTGTGCATACTCCTCGAGGTACTTGGCGAGGGTCTTAGTTAGATCGAACAGCCTTTCACCGGTAGACAGTTTCGCACACTGCGACAAGGTGATCTTGTAGAAATGGAAGAGCTCAATGGCCGATGGTATGACGGCGTTGGGGGAGAATTCCTCGTCTTCGTCTATCAGAGGGCCATTCTTGTACTTGGGTACCATGGTCGCCAGGGCCTTGTCCTGCGACTCCACCCACAAGCTCAGATATGGCTCAAAGGCCACGGATATGGAGCCGTTGAAGTTATTCGTTCGGTCGTCTGACGAGCTCAGTGTGTCGATACTTGCACGGGGCAGCTCGTTTGAGAAGCGCTTCTCGAGGCCTTGTTCAAAATCCATGGTTTCCTGCAGACAGCTCAACAACAGGTTGACGTCTATTTTTTGACCGTCGGCCCGTCGCATGCTCTTCTCCAAGATGCCCTTGAAGTCCTCCCTGGTGCCATCGCAAAACGACATGGCCAACATTTCGTTGACTCTCCAGTGTGGCGGGAATATGGCCGCATGCTCGTCTTCGTGTGTCTTGAGCATCCGCTTGAACCAAGCATACCGCCGGCCGATATTGTCCAGATTGCCCGCCTCGTCGTTGCCGCGGAACACCTGGCGATACTCTCTCAACTCCGTGTTGACGTACCATGTGATCAGCCTGCTCTTTGCGTTCTCGCCCAGAGCATCCATGACCATACAGGCCTCGATGAGCGTGCCCTTCCGCTGGGGGATCTCTGCCTTGGCAAAGGCAATCTCGAAATCCTCGCACACCTGCTCCAGCAGCTCCCTCTGCAGGTCTGCGACGTTCCTGCTTAGCACGGCGATCTGCTCGATGCTCCGGTAGCTGTTGAAGTGCTTCATGAGCTGGAGGACGGCCAGAAGGAGGCCGGCACACTCGCGGTACTGCCTGGTCCTTGCCAGACCGCGCAGCTGATCGTAGGCGGTAGTCAGCATCTGCAGGCGCTTCAGGGCAGTCATGCTGAGGGTCAGGTTGCGCTTGGTGCCGTCAATACGCTTGATCTCGGCGGTCATTGTGGTTATGTCACGTTCGGTTTGTAGTGCGCGGCTGCGCACGCCTTCTATCCGCTGGAACAGGCTGGCGAGCTCGGCCTGGGCGGACTGCATGCGCTCGAGGCTCGAGTCGGGGCCCCAGGCCTGGGAGGCCTCGAGGGCGCCGATGGAGGAGGACAGGTCATCCTTGTGAGACCGCAGAGTGGTAGAGACGCGGTCGATCGAGGAGACGGCGGCTGAAGGCCGGGAGAAAAGGGCGTTGAGATGGTCTACCGGGTCGTAGTCGACTGTAGACAAGTCAGTGTTAGTATCACCTAGCACAGTTGCTGGTACCTGCTCTAGAATGCTCGATCTGTTGCAAGCTCTGCCAGGTGGGGCGTGGAAGAACTCACCAGAATCAAGGGAGGACGGGTCGAGTAGGTTGTTCTCGTTGAAGATATTCATGGTTGGTAGTGTGTCCAGGGTGAAGCAGCAGGTCCGGCGACGTTGCATGTGAGCGGACTGACACAAGCTCTTGGAGCTCCGTAACCCGGCAGGGGGGTGGGCAGGGGGGCCCCAGGAGCGACGCGGGCAGCTACAGCTTGGGCGCCGTTCCAGTTCAACTCCCTGCCGAGCCCCCCCTTTTGCGCGTGCACCCTGGAGACGTGTTGTATCTACAGTATCGGCTCACTCGTTCCGCTCCCCTGCTACTGTTTACTTTTGTGGCTTTCGAAAAAGGGTGGATGCATCGCATGAAGCATCCACGGGGAGCGCTGCTGGGCTCTTTGCATTGCCCTGTCCATGTTGAGAAGCACGGTACTGAGTGCCGTTTCTCGTCCACCACAGATTGGACGCCGTCACTGTCGCAGTGAATAGGAATCAGCGCTTCTTCTTCTTCTACTTCTTCCCAGCATCAGACATTAGATGTCACATTGACGCATAGCCAACTACAAGAGTCATCAATCGCAGCCAGACATTTGCTGGGCGCTGAGTTTACGGTCGAGTTGGCCGCTCGACGTAGGTGTGATATAGGCAGCACATCTGTCAAGTACGCACTGTTGAGGGCCGCCGAAATGCACTCACTCACTCACTCGTCAAAAGTCGGATTCGATCAAGAGCCTCTCACCCTCGCTGTGCCCCGTCTTCTCTCCGGCGCCCTCGTCCGAGTCTTATCCGTGTAGTTTACTCTGGAATTTTGTGGTACGTAGGGTATCTTGATATCGCTTTATTTCCATCTTCCTCCCATCTGCCACCGCTCCAAACCTGACAACAGCCCCAATTGTCCAGTCCGCCCAACATCACAGAATAACGATGGGCCTTCTCCGACGAGCCTGCAGTTCGAACATGTGTCCTGTCGCTTTGCAGTGCGCCGTTTTGCTCCCGTCCTGGAATGCTGAGCCGTGCATCGTGAGCTATTATTTTGCTGACCATCACAGGTGAAGAGCGATTCATCGAGAGCTGTGCAGGGCACGAAACCCAGCAGCAACCAGGCTCCGCGCCGCGTCCTTGGAGTCCGCTGGTGCTGTCCAGTAAAACAATCCCTGTGTAAAGGTCAGCCTATCTTCTAATTTTCGGGCCTTTGAAGGGCGTTTGGGGGGGGGGGGGAGCGCCGTCAGAGGCGGGAAAGGGGGTGAATGAACAAAGACTTGCACCCAAGCCCTTCTGTCGGCAAAACGCCGCCTTTTGCTTCACCGTTTCAGGGTTATCATATGACACAAAACCACCGTCGCCGCCCACACAATATGCTGCGCATGCCTTCTTATCTACCTGCTCCTTGGTACCCTTGCGCGGGAGCTCGTTGTACTCAAACTCGCCATTGTTGCCGCCCACACCTTTGAACCTGTGTCCAGGGCCTGCCACTCCGAGAAAACTCCGTCCAAACACTGGTATACCGAGCAAGATCTTCTTCGCTGGGAAGCCCTGGGCTATGAGATATGATACCGAACTTGAGCCGGAGGTGTCACTGTCTTTGCCCGAGGAGTACAGTTGGGCATGGTGCCCAGAGATACTTGCCCAGGCACCGTAGAAGAGGTTGAGTAGGTCCAAATAGTCCGCGGCGCGACGAACATCGATGTTTGCGAGGACGGAGCTGGAGCAAGGCAGTGCCGCGGTGAGCAGGTAATGCTCTTCGGGTAGGTACAGACGAATCGCTGCGATGAGGGCAAGAAAGCCGCTGCCTTGCTGCGGATCCTGCCACATGATATCCAGGCCGTCCAGGCCGGAAGCCTCCACCAGCCCTCTGGCAGAACGGGCGAGGTTATCACGAAGTATGGGACTCGCCGCGATATTTGCGAACATCTGACCCGAGCCGCCTCCACCAATAGACAGGATAACCTGTAGATGAGGGTGCTTCTGCTTGAGATGCATTAGGGATCCCAGCCCTCCTGACACTCCATCGCATGGGGCTCGCACATCAGCATACTCGTCACTCAGCTGTAACGCGGCGTCAGTCTTCTTCCCCACGGCTCGCGATTGGATTGCTTTCACTCACGAAGACGCCACCATCTGCACTGATGCTCGCAAAGCAGTAATACACAGTGCTGATACAGCTGTAGTTCAAGGAGCCAGGGGTATCGCCGCCGTAGAGCCTGTAGTTGGGGAAGTAGACGGCATTTTTGTAAAATACCTGTGATGAGCTGATCGCCTTGCGCGACTTGCGCGATGAAGACGAGGCACTCATCATCGGTGTACAGCAGCCTGCACAGTCATTTGTTGCGCTTCCTCTGTTAAAAGGAGATCACGGCCTCGACCGGCGGGGAGACAAGTCAGATGAGGACAGGGTCCGAGTGGCCCATTGGGAGTGCTGTGGTTCATCGGACTCGTGCAACGTGGAGAGGAGTGAAGAACATATATCTTGAGGGGGTCACCGACTGAGTCGCGCTTGCCGGCGCCGCGTGTTGTCCAGAGGACGTGTTGTGTGTGCATCAGGTAGCAAGGAGACGCTAGGTACGGCCACAAACAGGACCAGTCGCACATTTGTAGACACAGCAAATCCGAGCAAGCGGGAAAAAAGAAGGCGTCGAAACGGTGAGCTGTGGTCGCAGTGGGGACAAGAAGCGGGTTGTCAAGAGGGACGCAAGCCCTGGTTTCTGCAGTAGGGCCCTCCTGGCCGGCCACATGCAGGCTTCTGCAATGACATGATTGCACTCGTTTCGAGTTCTCCGGGTACGACAGCCCTGGGCTCTCTGCAAGAGCACAAGAGCAGCAGACAGCAACAGCAAGGAGGCAGGTGAAGCGGGGGAGCAGATGCGAAAGCTGCGAGCCGCCTCATATCGAGACTGGACTGAAACACGGCCATGATTGCGCACTGATTGCTGGATCAGCTTTCCACTTGCACGACTTGAGCATTCCGCTATGATACCGACGATCTCCGGAGATCTGCCGGACCTTGGTGGACGGATTGTCGCCGAAACGGATTAGGCAAAAGGCAGGACCGAAGGCGCTGGGCAACAGCGCCGTGATGGGATTCTCCCTCGGTTTGAGACTCTTGATGTACATGCCGAGATCGTGTGCCGCTCTCAAAAATAAGTCGAGGGCCTCCTATATACGCAAATTCTGTAAGTTCGTCTACGCGGCATGTTGTTGAGATCTTCACTCACGGAGTATGACTGGATGGAGGGCCATCGGTCACCCCAAATCCCCATGATTGTGCGTAGCTCGCGCTGCTGTGCTGCTCTGCCGTGTGCTTGCGGAACGCCGAATGGGCACGCCCAGCCGCCAGCGAGCGCATCGTTTCTCTGACAGATGCGATCCGGGGCGTGGACCTTGATGGGACTGTCAAGTCGCCGAGACCTCTGATGATCAACGAGATACAACTACGAAGCCTTCGAGCGATATGTCAAGCGCTGACGGTCCCGTGCTTCAAGTAGCGAGCCGTTCCTTGGCCTGGAGCATGGTTCTATCTAGTCCGGGTAGCGGCAGGGCGGAGGAGGAGAGCAAAGTGACAGGCCGTCCAGCGTTCCATAATCACCCTAGCAGCCGGGCCCGTCCTGGGATTATGCCTCGAGAGCAAGCACCCTAGCGGCCTGGCTCAGGAACACCTCGGCGAACCGCACAGCAACAATGCATGTTCATAGTACTGTACCGTGTACCATGTACTCTACTACCTAGGTAGGTAGATAGGCCCCAGTCTAGGCAATGCCTGTTGCTGAGCTGGACGACTCTGCTACGAAGCGTACAAGTAGACGACCGTGACAACCGGTATCTAGGATCCAGGGCACGGCAATGTCGTCGCGACAGGGCGGAACAGACGGACAAGCGGTGAGTTTTCCTTTTCAACTGGCCTTGGTCGCACCATGCTATGCTTGACCATTGGACGGGCTGGCCAGAATGGCGTTGTTGCCTGCACGCAACTCTGCCCGAGCCTTGGAAGGACCCATGGATGCCGATGCCGTGTTGGGGCCGGTAGAAGAGATTTCTCCGCCGGTGATCGTCGCTGGGTCAATGATGCCGTTCCCACCGACTTTCCTCTCTCGTGGGCGAGTGGAAGCTCAAACGGGCGCCGGCAAGCCCTGTGCTGACTCGGGGCAGGTCATTCGGGATGCGGACATGGACAAGTATGGGCGAACCGGTTGTGGCTGTTCCCCTCGGCTTGCTTTTGACGAGGTCGATGGCTTGGGCTGGCAGGTTTGACGGGCAGGTGTGGACGGCAAAGGACCGAATCTTGGAAGTGAGTGATAATGGGCCTGGAGCCACAGCGTGACGTTGAGTTCAGACGTTCCACCCTTGATGCGGCCCGGCCCCGATCACCAGATGTGCAATGACGATTGTGCCCTCTTGGCAGACTTTGGGGCTGGAGCTGGCAGGCCGGGGTGGCCCAAGTGACCCGGACGACCGTGTGTGCTTGCGCGATTCGGACGATTCACGCTGCCCCAAATAGACTACCGTTGGGTAGATGCCTCGGTACCATGGCCAGCAGGTGGCTGTGGTATTGACTTCCCCACGGGTGTTAGGGCTGAACCATCTCAAAGGCTTTACAGAGGTTTGTCTACTGCAATTGGTCCCAAGCCTTTGGTGTGGTGGAGAGGCGTGTATAGCTATAGGACTCCATAGTGCCGTGCCTTGTTTAGTGATCGTCAAGGGTACCAGTACCACGAGTGGGCAGCTTCAGACGTTTTCAGGCCATGACAGAAGTGGATAGGTAGACAGAGCCAGGCTCGAGCGTAGGTGAAACAGACGGTGGTTGGGGTTGTGGTGCAATCTGCAAAGCATTATCAAAAAAGAAGTCATGGCAAGGAATAGCGAGCCGTGCTCGGGTCGCAGACTAGTCCACATAGACAGTAGACTGGCCTGCCTGGGAAACTGAGGAGGCAATGTCGTCGTCGTCGTCGTCGTCGTCGTCGTCGTCGTCGTCGTCGTCGTCGTCGTCGTCGTCCACGAGCAGCTTACGTAACAGAGACGGCCCCAGACAGCAGAAGCCCAGGCAATATCGGGAGGCTGTGGCAGACTGCGTCAATTGCAGTGGATCGAGGAAGCTAACAGACCTGTGCCATTTGCCATCCTGCTCCCTTGATCGTTGACCTTAACCATCCAGATTCGTTCAAATTTCTATTGGGTATCGCTCTATCACCTTGGAAATGTAAAGACGAGTAAAGTAAAAATCAACAAGAAAGCAAGACCAGGACTCTTCGAGATTTCCTCGACAGACCTGTCCCCCTTGGCCCGCCCCTCAATCCACGCCTGCCCGCAAGCGTTGCCAACGCCCAGATGGCTCCATGCCCACCCATGCCCTATGCCTCCCCGTGGTCGAGTCCTCATCCGCCATACCATATCGCAGCCTTTGACTTGAAGGCAGGCTTTTCTTAGCCCTGTCGACGGCCTGTCCTGCACCGGGTGCATTTGTCTTGCAACACCAGATTATGCTGCAGCTGCCACGGTCTGGTGTTCATCGAGGGTGCAGCTGGTTGAGGTGAGTTTGGAAAGCCGCGTTCAAGGCCTGCAAATGCTTCTCTGCACCCAGTGTGTCAGCCCCAGTCCGGACTGCTCGGCCTCCTCAATCAGTCAACTCACCGGCAATCTTCCATCGTTTCGCGAATACTTCGAGGCAGCCTCGAAGCAACTGGACCTTGCTTGGCCACTCCGGGTCGTGCATGACTACATCGCCCAGCCTGATGAGGATCATGGCACCTAGGAACACGCTGTACGCCATTGGGGGCACCAAAGGACCCAAGAACGACAGGCTGCCCGATGAGCTCATGAGCCTTGCACTATGGCAGATTGACTCGATGACAGGGAGTGTGGTCTGGATCGCGGCTCTGTCCATGGCGTCGTGTGTGGTTCCAGGGCTTGCAATCCCGACATACGGGTGATTGAGCTTGAGGATCGCGCTACCATCTCTTCAGCACAGCGCCCCTCAAGTTACCGACACAGACTCTTACGTATATGTGAGACTCAGAGCGGCAAATCGGCTGGAGTCCTTCCAGGGTGTGGAGACTTGGGGACAACGTCAGCCAGATTGCCCGGCTCAAGACGGTCTTTCTCGACAGAGCCTCTTACCGATGTGACGGGCATGGTCCATCATCGCATTTGTCAAACTCTCGCGGGAGGCCCCCGTCATACCGGCTTGGCCCGATGTTCTTTGCAGTACTTGGAGGAGCATCGAGGTCGACTTGGCCTCGGGGAAGACAATGGTGTCAATCTTGTCATCCCCGTCGTCCGCGAACCTGAACACTTGCCGCTGTGTGGAGCCGCCGTACTGCTGGTTCTGCGACAGGGGAAGGAATGGGTCGAGGTGTTCCGGGAACGGGACTTGGAAGTCAAGTACCGGGACGCTGCGCGGGAACCCGAGCTCCTCGGCCTGGATGCCACTTCTTGGTGTCAGCCTGGGACCAAACTACTTGGCAGATGCCAAACGACAGACTGACCTCTCCAAAAACATCATAGACCACCAGATGATAGAATAGGCCTTCAGCACCCTTGGCCGAACGATCCACTGATCTTGTCTCCAGAAGGATTCACTGAGCCAGCCGAATGCGCGGCTGATGGTGACACATGATCCCAATGTCATGTAGGCTTGCTGTGGCATGAAGTGGCAGAGTTCGTACAGGCACACCAGGAGGTTCGCCTGGAGGAGGGGTATGGACATGGGCTCCTTGGCGGCGACGAGACCGCAGAGTGTCTTTATGGAATGGTAAAGGCTGTTTTGCATCGACACCCCCGGCGTGTCCTCCGGTGCCCGGACGATCAGGAGCATTGACAATGCCAGCAGTCCAGTTTCTGCTGATGGTTCTGTCCACATTTGCCCGAACCGCGGCTCGAACCCGGACCTCTCGACGATGGTGAACCACGTGTTAACCGTCCCGAAGTAGTATCGCACAATGCTTTCGGCCGTCAGCTGGTCCCCCATCATCTGCGTCACGCTTCGGAACACGAAATGATGTATGTCCTCTGTTGTGCCCAGCGAGGCAAAGAGGGACGGGCCAATCGCGGGACCAAGCTGGCTGCCCAGGAACGGGTTCAGAGAGAACGCGCCCTGGGCACTCAGGCTGGCAAAAGTCTCGAAGCTAGTCTGCGCGGAGGCTTCGGTCGGGCGGGAAGCCGCTGCGTCGTCTTCGTGTTGACAAAATTCGAGGGAACTGTTTTGGGCCGGTGAGCTCTAATACAAGGCTTCGTTCGCCTCGCCGCCGCCGCCGGGGGGGGGGGGAAGGGGGGCCGACCTACTAAGTGCATCTACCACACGACGGCAACTTCTTGTCACACTTCTTCTTTTTCCGACGACAATTCAAACATACTCTCGACGACTTTGCCCCGCCGTCGGATGATGGGGATGGGGGGTCAGAAACCGGTGGTTTCAGCGAGCTCGAATTCGGTGCTTGCATGTTTGCGGTGGGCGACAGCGCTCGAAGAGACATGCCGAATGACGAGGGATCGAGGTTCGACGGCATCGCACATCGAAGCGTCCAGACGTTGGCTGGTGTGTTCTATTTGAGTATGGCGACCTCGAGGAAGACATCAGCAGCTGATATAAGTAGTCCTCTACTCGGCCCACCCCTGTCATCCGCTTGCTGCGAATGCCGTCACACACGTGGACCATGCCCAACGCCTCGACTTGCATGCTGATGCAGAACTTAAAGGGCCGCGCTGCTCAGCCCGCCGGATCAAGTCAACCACCAGGAATCATGGATGGTCGCTCTCTCATTTGCACAAGCCGCGGAAGCTCACAGCACATTTCCCACACTTCCCGCGGTCTCTGATGGTCGAGAGGAGACTGGAAACGTGACGAATAGGAGCGCGGACTATTTTGGGTCTCTACGGACATGTCCTATGCTTGGTACAGGCGCCACAAACCAGGAGGCTCCAAAATCTGATGCGTAAGTGCGCTAGGTTGTTTTGCTCGCACCTCCCTGGCTGCTGTGGCAGGGCTGAGGGCTACCTTGCTAGCGCAGCATCGTCATCTCGCGGTCGGCGTCCCACCGGGGGAGCGCTTCATTTGGAAAAGCCCCAGATGCAGTACATTTCCAAGCGCGCCTGTTTCGAGACTCAGGAGTGTGATTCGCCAAGGAGCGAGCGATATCTTGGGGTTTTCTTGACCGCCCTCCACCCCGGCATCGCTCGACCTGCGGAGGGTGAATGCTGATATTCTACAACACCTGACTCCTGCGAGCTCTGCGTCGTTGAGCAGAAGCTGCTGACCCTGGGGACGTGGTACCCTACATGCGTTCTGCAGCTGCTATGACAGTGCCCGTGGCTGCTGTTAATAGAGCATGTGTACGGCCAATCGCTGTGCGGCGTGGTGCGCAATCCTGGTGTCTCGGAAGCCCAGCACACACTTGGGCCCAGAGACTCGGGTCACAAGGATCGCCGCGGTGCCGGCTCTTGGGTTGGTCCCCTCACGGCCCTACAGGGCTCATTCAAGCGCAGGTGTCATTCAGTGGCCGCTTAGCCGCGAGCAGCGCCACCATCGCGCTTCTTTGGCTCCCGAAACGCCAGCTGAGCTGCTGTGCTCGCCTTTGCAGGCGACACACAAGACCTTCTCTTCCCCCAGGTATCACAGCCACGCAAGACCTCTGTGTCTGACCTTGGGTTACCTCAAAACTCCGCATCGGAGGTGGGGACTGGGATGGAAATAAGCAGGTCATCACGCGCCTGGGCATAACCGTCATCCAACAAGATCATTAAACTGCCCACGACTGAATCTCACGTCAGCTTCTTCATCAGATCAGCACCCCACAAGGTCTGGTCTCCCCTAGGCTTCAACATTTGGCACCCAGGGCCACCCGTGCTTGTTTATTGCCGAACGGCTTATCCCAAGGCAACGGTGAGCACAAGTTGGCGTTGCTTCGAGACTGCTGTGGGGTTCTTGCACCGGTACCCGCGTCCGCCCTTGTTCTCCCGTTCCCTCAGTCCATCTTGTGATTCTGTTTCCCACAGCTCTGTCCAATCTCACCGCCTGGGGCGCCACCCCGTACACCATTGTCCTGCACCGGCCCAGGCAGACGGAAAAGCATAAGGCCGTGCCGGTGGGCTGCAGATGGTGTGAAGCTCAAGCTCAAGCTCGAGGTCCAGATGTCTGAAGGCCGCAGTCTTACCATGGAGGATGGATATGCAGTGCATGGATGCAGGCCCTTATGTTCCGGATATGCAGCCAGCTGCTTGCCTTAATCGCCTTTGATCCAATGACGCGCCGCCATCGATATTTCGGGATTCCACATTGCACCTTGCCGTAGTGTGGTTGCGTTGCATCAACCGTCGACTGATCGAAGCCCCCCGCGCATGGGAAGGCCGCACGATGCTATAGTTCCACGACAGCTTCGGCATTTGTTTGCTGACTTGGATTTTGCAGTGCGTTTCACCTTGACCTGCGTCTTCCACCTCCTGAGGTCTAATTGGAGGTTTCTCACGTTTCGTGTGCCTTCTGGGCATTCTGCTTACTGCGAAACCTGGGACGTCGACGGCAGCAATGGCGGAAAAGCGCGCTGGGTGTTCCTTTTCACTGTGGCAACGCGCCATCTTGTGGCTCAGCCGCGGTGTTTGACTCTATTCTTGTCCAAGGGACAGTTGAGCACAAGTGCCTCTGTGTTTCCCTTTTGTTCGCCCCGTCACACACACACATCCCTGTTGCTGGGTATTTATGCTCAAAGCTTGTGGCTGCAGTCTCTGACAGATCATCACGGTCGGTAATGCGTCGAGGCACTTCAGTGAGTGACTCAATCATCTCGAATTGGATTTGTCATTTTGCCATCGCGCCGTAAACATCATTTCAAATGCCACAAGCAGGGACATCTCACCAAAATCACGTGTTGGAGCATAATTCCCCATCCTCAAACGACCAGGGAGTCATCGCTGAAGAAGGTGGTAAGATGACTTGATCAATCCCATCCCAACAACCTCCAGCACGGCCTGCACCCCCTTTCCTGGGCAGGCCGTCGTTCGCTACCGGATCCTGTCCATGAGATCACTCGAATTCCAAAAGAATCGCCGTCGAAGGTTGGATCTCGAACATTCCATTGTCAACCTCTTCGAGTGTCACTTGGCCCTCCGGCAACCCTGAAAGCGTCTCAAAGCTTTGCCCAGCCCAGGTGCTAGCTATCGTTCAGCATGCAATCACAAGGCAGAGCATATAGACCATGGGACCGGTACTTACACACCAGAGCTTGCGGTTGTTGCTGGTGCCGCAAGCCGCTTGATCCAAGACACTCGTTTTGCCCCTTCTTCGTTCAAGGTTATATTGAAAGACGATGCCGTACTGTCACCAAGGTGGACGTTGCTATTCAAAGCAACCACGCGGCGAAGCGTGTTACCCTCCCAGATTCCATACGCTGCGAGTGTATCGTTGCTTGCCGAGAGTTCGGCAACGTACGAGTTGTTACCCTTTCCGATGGCTTCATTGACGATGAGCAGCGCGTCTGGGTCATGCCAGAGAAGGGCGAGGTTTGAGAGCGTGAGACTGCGCAGGACAAAATGTGAGGCGCGGCGTATTTTGGAACAGTCGACTCACCTCCCACCCTCAGAAATGGCATGCTCCCTGTCCTTTCTCCCAAATTGCGCAGGATCTAGTTCACATACTCGTTAGGACGCCCAATCTCTGCTCCCGCCCAGTCTGTCCAACGATCCATCTCTATGCTAAGACTGGCCAGGTGAGGCGAGAGGGGCTCAGCCCATGCTGGCATACGGGTGGGAAGTTGTAATGTGACTCCGAACGCGTCTCCCCTCACGAGCGATGCTGGAGCTAGCAACAGCGAGAGAACCAGAAGTGGTCTGGACCAGGAAGACATTGTGCTGTGCCAGAGGTGCTTAGCGAGGGACGGCACAGAGCGGATAGTGACGAGCGCAATAGTTGAGTGAGGACTGTTCAAATTGGGTTGCCATGAAGGCGCGTTCTTATATAGAGCACCACTTCGCCTTCTCAAACTCTCCTGCCAGCTTTTCTGGAACAGTAAGCCTCATGGACACCGCCTTCTAGAATATCTTCGTCATGACCACTTCCCGGAACAGACGCGCTTTGGGGGCCAGACCCACTCCACGTTCCGGAAACTCCGGGCCTTTGCTGATCATGAATCCATATTACGCCCCCCCAAATTGCCATGTAGGATTGCCGAGCACATGGGCAGTGATATCCCACAAGTTCGTGGGCGCGGATTCCCCGCGCACGCGCCCCACGGGGTCGCAGGGGCTTGGCGTCTGGGGTGCAGATGAATGGTTGAAGCTTCCGCAACATCGGGCGAACTAACTACTCGATATGCCTCTAGTCCAAGTAACAGCGAGCGGCCCCGCTTCCGCCAACCTTGCTGGGGCATTCATTGTAATGGATAAATTTCGGGCAGGTCGAGAAAGAAGCTGGCCGTGAAGTCCCAGGGCCACTTAACAAGTGAGAGCCAGCCGGCTGACCCCCGATAGAAAAGATTACAGAGTGATTCGTTTCCGGGCCGATTGCCCCAGTGTGCTTAATCATGCTTTCCCGATGGGGTGATAAAAGCCCTGGGCTCTCTGTTGACGATTCGCCGGTCCAGTGTTCGCTCACGACACCGCAGAATTTTGGGTCACGGGGAGCAATAACCCTCTTCCCCACGGGCCGGCGCAGATGACCATTAAGGATCCTGTCTCACACACTTGCCTAGTAGCCCGAAGGTATAGCACACCTAGGCTGGACGAGGAAGTATCACGACCCATGCGCAGCGTCACTACACTAAAGTGCTAGGCCCCCCACGAACTGCCTGGCTCCTTATTGCTCTCGATGCATACCAACCTATCGCATGGACGGACCCCAGGAAATATCTAGAGGCTGAATTGCCGACTTCAACTCAAAACTTGAGAAACAGGGCAGTCTGAACACCTTCAATGTATCGCTATTGTTGTGCATGAATGGCATCTGCCCGGTGAGGTGTCAGATGTCAATTGTTGGCTATGATGAGTGTAGTTCAGGTGGTGCATAGAACAATGCAATGGTACGTCTTCACGCTAATAATGTGTACGAAGGTTGCTTGGTGAGTCTGAAAGCATCGGAAGCCTAATATTCTTCTGGCTCAGATTCAGGGGCACCACTGACCATGCACTACATTCTAGACAAAAGTGTTGGATCTTGCCTCTTTATTGTGGGCTCTGATGTTGGATCAGATGCCTCCTAAAGACAACGCACAATACAGCGAGCTCATCGGCCGTCTCAAGATCTCATAAGACATGGGCTCTGATCATCGGATCGTTGTCGCTCAGATAGTCAAGCTCTCCATTTCAGCACCCACCGCACCGTCCAAGTCTGGTGTTGGCGGTGGGAGGTTGAAACTCTTGGTCAGAATCCAGCAACTGGCATACATATTGACACGATCGATACACACGCCTGGTGCTCTCTTGCCGTGATATTTTGCGGTGAAACCCTGGCGCTCGAACTCCTTGAGATACCACGGCGTCAAGCCAGAGCTTCTCAGCATGACACGGCCGCCCATCTTCAAGGCACGGTTGAGCTTGCGGATCTGGCTCGTCGCGGCATTAGAGTCGGGGTCGAACCAGTCCATAGAGTCCATGACCACCGCAACCGTGAGCGTGCCGGGTGTGATTCGGGCGATAACCTCGTCGATCTCGTCTGTATGAATGCGGAGGCCATCAAACGCGCCAGGGCGGGACAGGCGAGCGTGGGCTTGTGGGGCGAGGTACTCGGGGTGGCACTTGCGGCTGAACTGGCCCGCCAGACAGACGAGGTAGTAGGGATTATCAGCGGCTATGTGAGTGTTCTCGACCATCGGATCTAGCGTGTTGACCATGTAGTTCCAGACAGCCTGGGAGCGGGTGTTCTGGGCACCTTTGTGCTCCCGACACAGGCAGGCGTGATCTGCCTCGATCATGGCGAGCTGGTTCTTGGGCACACCCAGAGCAGCCCAGAGAAAGGATTCCTGGCTGACGACAAGTCGGTTGACGAGCGTAGATAGCACGATCGGCCGGATTTTACTGCGCCAGATTTCCCGCTGCTCGTTGAGAGTCTTTGCTTTCAGGACGGCGTCGACGGAGCGCTGGAGGCCAAAGATGCGAGCAATCCACCGCATCAAGCGGATCGCATGCTTTGAGCCGCCCGTGTCGTAGAGCCCGCGGCCACGCTTGTTGGTGAAGATGTGCGCGTTGCTCAACCAGTACTGGAACGCGCGGCTGGATAGGTGGGGGGACAGCTTGGAGATCAGGAGCTGGCGGAAATCCGGATGTTTGCCCTCGCCGAAGAGCTTCCAGAAGTCCTCGTACAGAAGGGCACTGTACGAGGCGATCTTGAGCTCGAGGAGATGGCACTGAGTCGGGTTCAGGTCAACTGCGTGAACGCGGGCGGGGCTTTGCATCACATATGATAGGATGTTGTCGCCTGCGCTGCAGATTGCCAAGACGACATCCTCGGACCCGAGGTTGAGGATGCGAGCATCGACGCGGGAGTCTTCCCAGGTGAAGGCATAGATATACTCATCGTTGAACTGGGTGTGCTTCCTCAGCCTCTCGTCGTAGTAGATGCGCCAGTGGTGATGCTGGTAGAAGAAGGCAGGTAGGGGCAGGTTTGATGACAGGTTGGCAACGGCGGCATCGAAAGCCTTGGAGCGGATCTCAGGGGCGGCTCTTTGAACTGCTCGAGTGAGAGCGTTGGGGGCGTTGGCTGGCAGAAGATAGGGCGACTCAGTCACAAGTGCGTCAACGTATTCGACAATCTCGTGTGGCAAGCTCGAGGACGCGAACGGCTTCTTGTGACAGCCCAGCCACACGTAATAAGGGATGGCACCAAGCATGTTGTTGCGGGCGTTGGCACTGAGCACTGTTCCAAACCTGTACTCGAGGTAGTCACGACGGCTGGGTTCCAGACCAACCCTGTCGATGTCAAACCAGGCACGCCAGAAGGTGCGTCCAAAGAAATTGACATGGCGACCGACCAGGCCTCCGGTGTAGTTCCGGAAGCTGACGTCGACCTTCGACTGAACATAGAAGTCAACCACCCCCATCAAGCCATCTGGCGAGAGGAGTGATGCCAGGGAGTCTATGACGGAGTAGTAATCCGGCTAGTTCTGCGGATCAGCCACACGAGCCCCCAGCCGCCCGTTGGGGAGAAGGTTATAGCGGAGTCAATCACGTACAATCATGGACAGGCTGTACGACATTGTGACCAGGTCAGCGCCGCCGTGCTCGGGGCGTTTCTGGGAGAAGTAGCTGCTGGGAGCCCGGGTGGGAGCCCGAGCGCCAGGCGCATCATTTTCATATCGGTCCAGGTTGAACTTTCTCGCGTCTTCGCAGACGACCTTGACGTTGTTCCAGCCAAGCCTGGCAAACCGCGTGCGGGCAACCTCGCACAGCGAAGGAGAAAAGTCGACCAGGTAGACGGCGGAGAAGAACCGGGGCACGTCTACGAATGAGGCCATCGCCTCGATGTTCCAACCCGTGCCTCCACCCACCTGGATGAATGCAATCAGTCAGACGGCGCACGGTATTCCACAAGGAGTAGGAGACAGGTCTTACGTCAACCCAGACCCTCTTGGGCCTGTGCAGCCCGTCCTTGGCTGACCTGGCTTCGAGCTGGGCGGCCACGAGTGCCAGCATGTCCTCGCGGCCCTTGAGGAGGGCCGACCTGGTGGTGTCATAGATGCCCGCCTGAGCCTTGTAGAAGGACTCCAGGGCGTCCTGTTGGGTTCCCTTGCCATCACCCTCGTGGGGCTTGAGGAAACAACCATAGGCGAAGAGGAGCAGGGACCTGACGAGGCCGGGAGTCTCGTTGGCCGCGGTGCCCTCTGAGTGTGTGCTTGCAAAGACCCTGGAGAGGCCGAGGGCGAAGCAAAAGACGCCGGCGATGCCAGCGTAGACGATCTTGTTATCCAGCTCTGGGGGTAAGATGTTACCACCAGGAGAAGCCATGGTACTCTCTCATCGCAGGCTCGCGGGGCGAGGCAGGGAAGGGGACTGGTTGAGCAGAAAGGGTGTGTTGAAGAGAGGACTGTGGCCAACCACCAGAGGAAGGGCCTGGGGAGCGGGTGGGGGGTGGCCTGGGCAGAGTATAAGTAATGGAGGGCACATCCTACCTGAGAAAGCTACCCGCTATGCTACGTACCTAATTGCCGCAGGTGACCATGGCTGTTGATGAGATGACCACGACATTCTGTGGCGTGGTGCGCATGTGTATGCGTGCGTGAAGTCAGAGTGTGGTCGACGGGAAGGAAAGAAGAATTGAACATGCATCCGTGGCACTGCTCAGGTAACAGGGTCCGGGAAGGTGTGGTGGCCCCGACAGCCAATCAGCCTCAAGCTCTCAACACATGTGTTGGAGCCATTTGCTCACCCAGGATCGTCAACACTTGAGCGTCCCGCCTTGCGGCCCCGGACTCGCGCGGCACGTTTGACCAGCCGTAGGCTGAGAGGGACGGAGCAGGATACCCACACTGGCGCCGTCGCCCCGAGCAGAAATGAGGACGTGCATGCATACATGGACTAGACACATGGTGGTTAGTCACAGTCGATCACGGCAGCTCCCCCTTCCTTCTCTGCGCACAAGGGATGAGCAGTCAGGCAGCACGCCTGAAATGTGTAATGACGACCGAGATGAACCGCGCACGAGGCTGAGGATGAGGCGGGCGGCTGGAGGGAGCGACGAGATGTGCCCGTCAGAGTACAGTGATACTGGAAGAACGAGACAGAGCATGCAGTATCGTGATGAACATAACAACAGTTTACTTGTATATTGGACTACCTGCCCACACAGGTAGAGGGATAAGATCTACCGTAGACGGTGCTGCAGAATTGGTCATGTCATGGTGCCAATCAGCGTCCGTCCTACAGGCACATGTTGGGCTCCCTTTCCTGCCGTGTCGTGTCGCGTAGTGTTGCACTTGGGACAAGGTCGCCGGACGTTGAAAGGGTCAGCCTGTTTCCTATCGTGTTCTGTAGCATCTGGGTGAGAAGAATACCTACCTAGGTAGGTAGAGGTAGGCACCTGTGCTGCGGCTGTGCTGTTACAGTGTTGTGCTGCGACGGGCCTGTGGCGCCTGTTTGATCACAGCGCGCTACTCGGCTCGGCTCCGGCCCGCCCTGGCTCTCTGGCGCGGCCTATGTCGTCCTGCGCCTTGCCTCGATGACCTCCTCCTTCTCGCCGTCCTCCTCCATCGCACCCGGCTGCCCGTCCACATCCCACCATGCCTCCTGCATCAAGCCAGAAGGGCACCGGCAAGAAGGGCGCCGGTGCCATCGCCCGCCAGAGGAGCCGTAACACCACGCCCAGCTCCGTCCCGCCGCCCGCCTCCCTCCCCCCGATTGACGTCAAGCAGACCGAGTACCTCGACCTCAACTACGACTCCTTCCGCAACCTCACCTACGAGGATGTCGTCGACCAGAATGCCATCTCGTCGGGCATGCCCGAGTCCAAGAATCTCGATGGCATGATGACCCGCCTGCAGCGCCTCCAGGAGACCCTCGAGCGACGTCATAACTTCTGCGACCGTGGCATGAGGCTGCTCGTGCCTCTCCTCAGGGCCAGGCTGGACGACGAGCGGTCCAGGGAGGAGGAGCGCCTGCGCAGGGAGGCCGCAGAGGACGACGAGCGCGCCCGCAAGGCCAACAAGGCAAACAAGGCAAACAAGAAGAAGAGGAAGGCCGCCGACTCGCTTGCGCCCCACGATACCAACCTGGGTCAGTCCACCATCTATACTGCATTTCCCCCAACCTGTACTCACTCGCTCCTTCGCATTGCTTGCTATCTCGGTATCACGCAGAGACATGGAATGCAGTTTTTGTTTGCGCTTTGCCCACCGTCCTCAATTCATTATTCGTGCGCCCTGTCAAACCTCCTCACTTGTAACCTGTTCTTGTCTCTGTACTCACCCATGTGATTTGAATTGCACTTGCCCGTCTGCCGTCGACTTGACCTCACTTTCCTGCAGCTCTACGTAGCCTTATCTTTTTGTTCCCCGCCACCTGAACCCACCACTGATCTCCCAGTAACAGAACGGTCATCCCCACTGCGCGATTCCAACAAACCCAGGAAACTGTCACGCGACAACGACTCCACCTCCTCTTCCCTGTCCCCCGTTGCTCCTGCTACCCCCGGCGGCGGCGCCATGGATGTCGACGACAAGGAAAAGTCCAAGAAGAAGGTCAAGGCCAAGGCCAAGAAGGAGCAAGAGTCGTCTGATGATTCCGATTCCAGCTCTGACGACGAGGGTGCCCCGCCCCCCAAGGCAATACCACAGAGCAACATGTTTGGAGACGACCCCTCGACCTTCCCAGACCCCACCGTGTACGAGGTCACCAAGGTTGACTGGAAGAACATGGTGGACGAGGAAATCAGGGAGGCAACATCTGTCGCGACCTACCCCAGAACCGATCTGGCCGATCAGATTGCCGGCGTCCCACCAGACAAGGACTACAGTGTCGCCAAACCCACCAACCAGATATCCTTCTCCACATTCTCAACCTACGTTGAGCCATACTTCAGGCCTTTCACCGAGGAAGACCTCGCATTCCTGCGCGAGCGCGGCGACCGCGTGACCCCCTTTGTGATCCCCAAGCGGGGGAAAAAACACTACACGCAGATCTGGGCAGAGGAGGACGACCACATGGCCATTGACCTGCCCGAGAAACCTCAGCCAAACGCACCCCGCGGGAGTATCGAGCACATGACGGATGATATTGCTGAGTCCGACAAGCTATCAGTCGGGCCGTTGCTCTCGCGCCTGATGCAGGCCATGAGGCCCGAACGGCGGGCCGTCGCCAGTGAAGATGGCAAACTCATCACCAACGGCGTCAACGGCGAGGCCGGCAGTAGTATGGACCTGTCCATGAATGGCATCGACAGCGTCGATACCGCGGCCCCGCCCGTCTTGCAACCCAACGGCCAGCCATCTGAGCGGGAGCTCTCGCCCGCGGCTCACATGCCCGAATCCAACTCCGAGCACTGGAAGAAGGCCACCCACCCCAAACTGGACTATAACCAGGTTGACGAGCGCATCAAGCAGGAGCTTCGACATATTGGCTTTCTGCCCGCGCCCGCAGATGAATCGGAACAACCACAACCTGAAGATGCCCGGGCTGATTACGATGGCGCCTACGACGACGAAGTCGCTGGCCGGCTGCGGCTCCTGCAGAGCCGTCTCCGCGAGCAGATGCTCATCAACGGTGCCCGCAAGGCGAAACTCTCGGACCTTGTTCGTGAGCGTATGGCTCATCAGGAGTACCAGACCATCCTCGAGGACCTCGACAGCCAGGTGCAGGCAGCATACCTGAAGCGGACGCGCACCATGGGCAAGACCAAGAAGAAGTCAAGGCCGGGCGCCGCTGTGCAGGCCGCCTCAGGGGTGGCCAGGCCGGGCATCGGTGATCTCACCAAGACGCTGATGGAACGCCGGCGGAGATGGATCGAGAGCATTGGCACCGTCTTTGATGGCGAGAACCTAGGCAAGGTGCCGCGGGCGAGCGAGCCCGGCAGCTCCATCTTCAAACAGCCCGAGATCGCCGAGTTCATCAAGAGGGAGAACCAGAGGTGGGATGAGGATGACGAGTAAGCCTCGATTCAGCGGCGCCGACAGCTCCACGGTCCGCTTAAGCCCGTGCCTCATCCAGTCACAGCCCCAGACGGTATTGATGCCTGAAATAATTCCCGGGTCGACGATGGTTCTGAAGAAGGACTGGCGGCGACTAGAGTCATCCCATTTACTGTTCTTACTACTGCAGCAGGCCATCCGGGGCGTGGTCTCGAAAATTATGGTGTATGTTACTATTTATTTTTGATTGATGAATGGCGTTGGTCGGACAGGCGTGATGGGCCTCACTGTCTTCTGAGACTTCGGGTTGATGGTCCAAAAGGGCGGGAATTGCTGTTACGGGCGATGGTGGGCAACTGGGGCTCTCTCCTGTGGCGTTGTAGGAACAGCATTACTTTCTATTGCAGATCAAGGCGTAATGGCCAGGGTTCACCACCGTGAACCTCAGCCGAGGTAACATCTGTTCGGGTCGTACAAATCATATCAACTGACTGAGATACACGCCCATTTAACCACTATGCAGATAGTGCTCTTCGTCTGGATATTCCACCTGACGATTTCGCAAGCCCAGCCAGTAAATACGACCATGTCCCTGCAGAACCATCCGCTTCCTATGCGCTTCACTATGCGGGCACCACCGTCACTGCTGTCCGACCCCTCGGCATCACAGCAGGCGTCGTTGATTCTTGATCACCTCGTGCAAGCATCACTGTTGTAGAAAGTTTTCTGTGTGACTCGTTTGGGGAGGATACGGTCAAGAGATGAGGAAGAGGAACAGTGTCCGTTGATTCGGCTTGCTGTTACATTAGGGTATCCTAAACCTGGTTCATCTTAACGGGTTATTAGGAATTTACCGCGACCTATTCCTTCCGTTAATATTGCTAGAAAACATCTACACCACACTTTTGTAAGATATGAGCTTGCCATTCTATACAGCATCGGATAGTGGTGTTTGAAGCCTCATGTCAGTAAAATGGTGTGAAATTAGGCTTGATTAATATGAGTTGAAGTTGGATGCCTACAATAAAGAGGAGACAGACCCATACCCAAACAGTTTACATGTTACAGGTGCGATCATAAGCTCAATGGACATCCTATTACATCATTATAGAGATGTCGAGTTTTCAGCCTCAGGGGGCAAAATATCTCAGAGGTTGTCTCGTGTGAGCAACTGCTTAGTCGCTCGGTTTATATGTGATCACGAGACACGGAATAAAGATTGACTAGATCGGCTCTAATCATAAATTCTGCCACCACATAACTATTTACAGTGTCTCATTGACCCGAGCTTTCAAGCCGCACAGTTTTGGACAACCTGAACTCCAGCGGCGATGGCAGCGTTCAGAGATGCCTGGGTGCTAGCCACGGCAGGATCCGCCCTGAACGAATTTCTTCAGACATTTCAACTGTCGTTGGGGGGGGGGGAGTCATTTACTCACGCATTAGCACCAATTATAGCCGCGTTCATGGCCTCGAAGCCAGCCTGGACCTGATCACGGCCAGCCGCAGGGGGCGCCTGGCCGGCTTTGATGGCCTGTCCGATCTGCTGCACACCGCCAGCGGATTGCTGCAAGCCGGCCTGCACTGCCTGCTTCACCGTTGCGTCCTGGATCTGTGCCGAAGACGTGTTGATTTCTTTCAGGCCGTTGACTACCCCGGCGCGCCCCTGATCACAGGCAGCTTGGTCCTGGCGGGGCGTGATTGCCGCTGCAGAGGCGCCAGCCGCGAGGACGAGAGCAAGGATGATCTTGGTGAAGTACATGGTGCTGAACTGTGAAGTGTATTTGTGCTGAACTAGAGGTCTCGAGATAGGACGGCACGTGTGGGTTGGAATGACAAAGTTGGGACGATTAGGACTGAGCGTCTGATGATGCACTTTACTCTGGATCAGGTGAACCCAAGCTCACCTTTATATGAAGTTGGATGAGGAAGCGCATGTTTAGAAGCTTGCGATTGCTGCATCGCATGCAGATGGCCGGTTCGTAGCAAATACCAAGTAGAGAAGTAAAACGCGAGGCAATGTTACGGAAACGTCGATCAAAAGCTTGGCCTGGGTTCTCCGGGAACATGAAGATCATTGAAACGGATCTTCAAAGGTGGGAGGTGCCAAGCTATGAATTTAGGCAACATGTGTCGAATGCGATTGGGAATTGGTGGCAGTTTCAGAGACTTGCCCAAGTCTATTGTCAGACTCGCGCTTGGGGGCAGTGCTTCTCGGCCTTGTTACGAGACAGGCGCCCGCTGGGCAGGGAAGACGTAGTACCTGACGGTTAATCAATCTCCCTCCCGCTGTCATGTGAAAATCGGATTAGCCTATCATCTCGCCAGGCATCTCGTTGAGCTCAGACATGGCCAAAACGGCCACGGACCAAAGTACACGTCCGTAGTAACCATGAAAACGGAGAAAACGGACACGGCATCTTCGAAAGCCCATTGAGTTTTACTCGTATCTGGTTAGTTAGTACGCACCAAATGAATACAAACAGTGAAACCTTCACCTACCAGCCGGGCCAGCAGCAACACATGAACGAGCAGCAAAAATGCGAAAGATATGTAACATAACCCCAATGACTTGAGGCGGTAGCTGATGGTCGGTTCAAAAATAGAAGGTATACATATCAAGGTTAAGCATCGATTCCCAACAACAGCCCACCAGCTACCTCGGCCTACTCCGAGACAAAGACAACTTCTTTCGTAGTGTAGTGGTTAGTATGCAATCTCGTTGTATGAAAGGTTTCCGTGTAGAAGAGATGATAGCACGTTCGTTGAGAGTAACTGCGTGAATTGAATGGCAGCGGTGGTGATCCGTTTGACTTCCGTTGGGCCTGCAAATATAGAGGCTTGTAAGTGAGGCAGCTCTGGTACGCATCCACACCCCCACAGCACAGTCGGTCCAGCCGGAGCCCCTGCAATGCTGGACTGAACCCCCCCCCCCTCTGCTGAGGTGCAGCCCGCGGGAAGTTAAAAGCGAATAGCTCAAACCCAACAGTTTCAGCACTAGCAATGAGCAACTGCTGGGAAGCATCCCCACACCCCCGATACCATAAAGCTCCTGCATACACCACGCTGCAACCCCAACCATCCTTTCTTCCTTACTTCGTAGTGCTTCGTTCCTAAAAAGTAGTAAGCAGAAAGGGGGGAACTTGGGTGGATCTGAGTGGGTGGCGGGTCGATGCTCTGATTTTGTTTGGGGCGGAGAAAAGTGGGACCCGCATGGGCATCGAGCCACGTGACTGGCTCTTGGCCAAATCCTTTACTCAGCCGGCCCCAGTGAGCAGTGAGCTCCGTTCCCTCGCATCACAGTGCATGTGTCAGCGGCCGCCTTTAACAGATCTCGGCTCCTCTCGCCACCGAAAACCATCGACAGCTCATCCTAGCAAGCATCATGGAATCTACGATCAAGTTCAAAAAGAGAAGTGGCAAGGCCAGCTTGAGGAAAAGAGCGCTCACGTCATCACCCACATCGTCCGACGATTCCGACGATGGCGCCTCATCCCAAGACGACACCAAGCCGCGAAGAACGCGTGTCAAGCGATCGAAAACGAAGCCTAGCGCGCCAGAGACATCCTCACAGGATCTTTTCCCGGCTCCTTTTGCAGCAGATCGCGCTGTTCCCTTAGCAAGCAAAAACGACGCGGCCCGCTCAGCAAGAGCCGTGGGGCCGGAAAAGAGGCCGGCCAACGTCCGCACCACGGTGATAACGGATTTCTCCCCAGACGTTTGCAAAGACGTGAGTACTTGATCATCTAACCTTCAAGATTATGCATGCTGACTATCTTCAGTACAAACAAACCGGTTTCTGCGGCTTTGGAGACAACTGCAAATTCCTCCACAGCAGGGAAGACTACAAGCAGGGCTGGCAGCTTGATCGTGAATGGGAGGACGTCACCCGGGGAAGAAAGAAGGCATCCGGCACAGTCGTCGCAAGCATCGACGGCAAAAAGGCCGAAGAGGAGCAAGAAAGCGACGAGGAAGCCTTCTTGGAGAGTATACCCTTTGTTTGCATCATCTGCAAGGAGTCTTACAAAGAGCCTATCGTCACCAGATGCGGGCATTACTTCTGCGAGCCGTGTGCGCTAAAGCGATATCGAAAAGACCCGGCCTGCGCGGCCTGTGGCGCGGGCACGAACGGGGTCTTCAACTCGGCCAAGAGGCTCGAGAAGCTGCTAGAGAGGAAGCGGGAGCGTGCTGCGGTGTGGCGGCTAGCTGACACAGAAGCTGGCGGCGAGGTCAGCAACGAGAATGAAGGCCAGAGGAAGGCAGGGTTCAGTGGCACGAAACGATCATAGTGTTCGACAGACAGCATGCGCGTGGTGAAGGGAAAATCCAAAGATGAAGCTTGATTTCTATAACTTAAACCAAAAGAGGACTTCTCGAATTTAAACTTCAACCGGCAATCCTCGGTGCAAGATGTCAGTGTGCCGTTGTATCCTTTTTCCGTACTCGATGACGAATTGTGTCCCACCTGATTGTCTTGACCCCGTCACATTTTGGTACCAACGCTCTGTGCCTTAATGGATTGAGAGAGCAGCCACAAATTTCATTCTTAATCTTCTTTTGACAACACAACATAAAGCCCTTCGCGTGTGTAGAGTGGCGATTCGTCATCTCTGACATCAGAAAGACATAGCGCACACTTGCGGGCAACGCGACTGCCGGCTTGGCCATCGGCTGGACGGACAAGGTCGAATTCTTCGACAGCTCGCTTCAATCGCTTCTGGATTTTGTTTCTTGCCACCGTCTGGAGACCAGGATACCCTCTTTCTCGGCACACTTCCCGGGCTCGTTTCAAAACCTCCTTGGAACCCTTATATCCAGAAAGCCGGCTTGCCTCCCAGGCCTTTTTCAAGGGTTCTTTGGTATTTTGAAACTCCCTTGCGCGATTAACTTCGAGTGCGGCCTTGAGATTCGGGAATCCGTTCGCACGGTTCACTTCAAGAGCGATCTTGCGTGCAGTCTCGAGACCCGGAAATCCGGCAGCACGGCGCATTGCGAGGGAAACCTTCTGCGCAACCTGCAAACCTGGAAACCCTCTGGCGCGATTCACTTTCATGGCAACCTCCGCTGCTGCCCTAAGAGAAGGAAAACCCTTCGGACGGTTTAGCAAGACGTAATTTCTGCGCGCAGCTTTGAGCTTTGCGAAACCTCGCGCCGCCACAGTCTCGACGGTATGCCCACCGGCATACTGCCCCAGGACAGTATCTATCCATCTCATTCCGGAGCATTCGGAGCTAGCAAATTCTCGCAGCACTTGAGGGCAGTCCGGATCTGTGGCTTCCGTAATGGTGAAGTTACGGATATCTTGCTGGATCTTGTCCATTGCGGCGGCGACAATGGAACCCGTACGAGTGTCTGAGATATTTTTGCAGCGAGCTTCCTCTATAGAAGCAGCCCAAAAAGAGGCATTGGGCAAGATTGGCGTGAATGAGAGTGCTAGGGCGAGATTGAGAAGCAAGTCCTGGACTACGACTCTGCGATACGTAGTGGATCTTTGGCCCGGCGGCGTCGTGCACTCCGGATGCTGGGCCATTAGGACAATACGTTCCAGTCGATTGGTTGTTCTGTGGAAGAGCAAAAAAAATCGCCCGACCGTCTCGGAAATTTCTGCTGTAGGGTCGAGATTTCCACATGATTCGATTTGAAACAGCGAAGCGTCTCGATTGCTATTATCGAGGAATCGGTTATGGTTAGACACGCCGAAGAGCAAGATCACATTCGTCATCCGAGAATCCATCATGAATTGGGCAAATCTTTCCATAGCCTTCTTTTGCTTCGGGTTATCGTACTCCTCTGGAAGACGTCTCCATCTCTTGTGGCCGCTACTCGAAGGTACTTTGGCCTTGGTACGTTCACGGCGTAGTGAGGCATCATCAACGAGAATCGAAGAGTCGCGCTCCAGACAAATACCTTTAGCGTAAAGCTGAGCCATCGTGGGGTTTGTTGTGTCGAAAGTTTCACCGTATGTAGGGAATTAGCAGGTAAATGTCGGATAATGAAGTCGACGATGCAAGCGAGCCGCAAGATGGCCCGAAGGAACCACGAGAAAATTCGCCGGTTGGTTGGAAGCCGCAATTTATATGGAAACAAATTCGTCCCAAGCGCCGGATAGTATAGGTCATGACACAGCCACGTTCGAGGTTTCCGAAATGATGAAAAGGCTTGTCCCTCTTGATTCGAGTTTTGAGCTTCTTTCTGTTCGATTTCCATCCTAGACATGAATTCTGCCACATCGGATTTATGCTTTTGAAATGAAGGATGCGACAGGATCCAGAGTCTCGTGTCGTCAGGGCTCGTAGGCAAATGCCATCTGCTTCTGGCGTTCGCGTGGGGTGGCGGCTCCAGCGGCGAAAGTTGTTGCACGCACATCCCTAACCCTGGTTCGCAACCACCTTTTAAAGTGCTTAAATAGCTAGATTTCTTTTATTTCCTTTTTTTATATTACTTTTAAGAAATAAATACTTTTACAATTATGTTTTTAATTCTTTATAATATTTATAACTTTTTATAATTATTAATTTAATTTATAAAAAAAATATTATTTTTTATAAATTATAAATAAATTATATAAAATATATTTTAATTATATTTATTTTATATTATTTAATTCTTATTAATATTTAAATATATATTTATAAATTATTTTTAAAAATATATTATATTTATAAGCTTTATTAAATTACTTAATATAAAGGTATTAATTTTAAAGTTAAACTTATAATTTTAAGTTATAATAAAAAAGAAAATAATTTTAAAAGAATATTTTTAATTATATAAAATATTTAATTAATATTTTATAAATATAATAATTAAGGTAATTAAATATATAACTTTAAATAAAATTAATAATTTATTATTATATTAACTTTTTAATAAAAGCTGCCTTTTTTAAGGAATATATAAAATATAATTAATAAAGAAATATAATTATAATTTAAAGGATTTAATAAGAGTTAACCTTATATCTTTTATATTTTTATAAATTAATAACTTAATGCATAAATTAATTACGTTATAAGATTAAATATATATTTATATAATAATTATAAATATTTTTTAAACCTTATTAATTAATAATATATTTAAATATTCTTTTTATTTAATTTATTATATTATAATTATATAATAAATAAATAAAAAACTTTTTTACTTTATAATAAAGCGCTTTTAATAATTAAAAAGAATTTTTAATAATGCATAATATTAAGTAAAATAAAATAAATTTATAATATTTTTATGTCATGCTGCGGAAAATATAACCTTAAAACTTATATAAGCTATAAAATAACAAGCTTAATAATAAGTAATAAAGATATAAAAAGTAATATAAAAAGCATGGTAAGTAAAGCAGAAATGAAAAGCATAAAAGTTATATTTATATTAAATAAAACTTAAAGATATATTTAATTAAAAGCAATAAATAATTAATTTTATAAAGGTATAAGCTTAGCATAATATAATAAGAAAAGCTTTAATAAAGTAATATTTTTTATGATTTTTAAAGAGGTAAGTAAAAGTTTATAGCTATATTGCTTTAAAGCTAATAAAAATATTTTTATTAAAGGTAAGGAATGGGAAATTAATTAAAATATATTATAATAAGGTAGTAATATTAATAATATAATTTTTTTTAAATGTAATAATAAAAGTAAATTATTAAGATATATATTAAGGGTTGTTAAAAGGAAGAAGAAATTTTAATATAAAAGTTATAAAAGATAATATAAAGAAAACCCTTAATTATATAAGGAATAATAAAGCTTTAAAAGAAAACCTTATTAATATAAGATTTTTAAAGGTTTATAAGCTGCTTATTTAAAAGGCTTTAATAATTTTTATTTAAAATAACTTTAATATATAATATTATTTAAAGTAATTTTATTATAAAATTATAATTATTCTTTATAAATTAAGAAAAATAATAAATAAAATATATTAAATAAAGAATTAAAAACTTATTATATTATTTAATAATATAAGAAAAATAATTAAAGCAATTTTAATAAAATACTTTATTAACTTTATAAAAAAATTAAATATTTTATTTATAAGTTAAATAAAAACTTATATTATAAAAAATATAAAGCTAATAATTTAAGGTATTATAAACCTTATAATAAAATATAAAAATATTATAAAATAATCTTTTTATTTTAATTAAATATATTAATTATATTTAATTAATATAATTTATTAATAAATAAGTTTTATTAATAAATAATCTTTTTAATAAGGTTTATAAACTTTTATTAATTTTAATATTTATTTAATATAAAAAGATTTAATTAAAGTTAATATTAATTAATATTAATTATATTAAATTTTTTATTTTTAAGTAATTTAATTAATTTAAAATAATTATTATAAGGATAATATAATTAAAATTTATTAAAGTTTATATAAAATATTTTTTTTAATATTAATTATATTTTAATTTTTAATATTAATTTTATTTTATTTTATTTACTTAAATATTTATTATATAAAAAATTAATATTATATTATATATTTTTTATTAAAAAAAATAAAATTCCTTTAATTATTTAAGTAATTTAAAAACCTTAAAAAAAAATTATATAAAACCCTTAAAAATAATTAAAATTATATAAATCTTTAATATTTTTATAATTATATTATATTATAAAATAAATTAATAATACTTTTATAAAGAATTATATATTAATAAATATAAATTCAATTAAATGAAAAAGTAAATATTTATTTAATATATTATTAAATTAAATATTTAAGGATTTTTATTATAACTTTTTAATATAAAAAATATAATTAACTTATTATTAATATTATAAAATATTAAACTTATTAATAAATATTAAGTTTAATATTTTATAAATTTATAACTTAATTTAAAAATTAAGTTTAATTATCTTTATAATTATTAAAAAGCTTTTTATTAAAATTTAAAAGTTATTAAAACTTAATTTAAGTTACTTTAAAATATAATAATTAAATATAATATTTATTGGCTGGGTTAATATACGTTGGTTGATAGTAAACTGGTTGTATTTAAATCGGCTATAATGTAAAGGGTAAGTTGCAGTAAAGCTGCAGCCTTCCCCCGTTTGGCTATAGGCTAGCTATGGTGGTCCGTGCACGGGGTATGTGACCGCCAGCTGGCAGCTGGCTGGCACCGGCTGGCAGCTGCTATTAATAAGATTAATCTAAACCTTGCACCTTTAAATTTATACATTGCTTATAACGCACTTATTATATAAGTACATTGCATATAATGCCCATATATATTATTCCCATATTAATAATCTTTTATATATATATATATAAATGCTTTAAAATCATGCTTTTCCTTTAAATTATTACTTAGCTAATTAAATTGCTTAATTAATATAAATATCTTATCCTTTAAAGAGCTATAAAAGGCTAAGTACCTTATAATTATTGCTTTAATAAGTTAAGTATAAGTATTTAAGTATAAATATTTAAATATAAATATTTAAGTGCAAGTATATTTAAATGTTTTAAGTGTTTAAATTGCTTAAATTGCTTAATTAAATTATTTAATTATTAATACTTTAAAGCTTTAAAGTATTTAAATATTATACTTTAATTAATTAATTATTACTTTAATAACTTTTTTCATTTTATTATTAAATTAATTAAAGTGCTTAAGGAATGAATTAAAGCTATAGTAATAATAATAATTATTAATATTATTAAAGTTTTAATAATTTTAATATTTTATATATATAATATAATTAATTAAATAATATAAAGGGGTTTTTTATTAATATATTTAATAACCTTATAAAGGAAAAAGCTGTTGAGAAAGAATTAATTAAAAAGAAAGTTAATAAAAAGTAACTTATTAAGAATAAACTAATTATAAAAAAGGCTATAATTATCTTTAAAGCTATTAAAAAGGAATTAATTAAAAAAAAGTATTAAAATTATTAGCATTATTAATATTATTTATTAATTTATTGCAATAAATATTAAAGATATATATCTTTAACTTATGTTTTAACGTAAATATTAAGTTATCTTATTAATAAATAATGTTTTTATATTATATATTTATAGCTTTTATAAATAACTTTATTATTATAACTTAAGAATTTATAAATACTTATAAATAATACTTAAAAAAAATAATTACTTTTAAAGGGTTTTTAAGGAAAAATTAAATAGTTAAGAGGCAAGGGCTTTCTTATAGCTAATAATAAGTATTTATTATTATTATTAAGGTAAATTTTAAAATAATTAATTATAAAGCAAAAGGAAAAAAGGAAAAACAATATTTTTTTATTATGCTTATAAGCTAATAATTAGCTCTTAAATTATTTATTTATAAATAATAATATTTAAATGCTATTATTATTTAATAAATTAACTTATATTAATTTTAAGGCAATTTATGCTTAAGATTTTATTAAAAGGCATTAATAAAAAAAGCATTAAGAAAAAGAAAGTTATTAAGAAAAAAAAGTTATTAAAAAGAAAATAATTATTACTTATTAATTAAATAAATTAGCTTTTATTAAAAAGTAAATATTTTAAAGATTTAATTAAGTTATTTATATAGCTAAATTAATAATAAATCTTAATTAATTCTCTTAATAATTTTAAACTAGCTAAAAAAATAACTTCTTTTATTAATATTTTAAAATATTAAATTAAATATATTAATTAAATATATAAATTACTTAAAAGAAATATTATTTATTAATACTTTAAAGTATTTAAGTATTTTATGCTTTATTAAGTATTTAAGGGGTTTTTAAAAGGTTATAAGCCTTAAAAGTATTATATAAATACCTTAAGAAACATTAATTGCAAATAAGGGCTTCTTAAGAGTGCTAAGCAAGGGCTTTTTAAGGATGTTAAGCAAGGGCTTCTTAAGGGTGCCAAGCAAGGGCTTTTTAAGAGTATTAAATAAGGGCTTCTTAAGGGTGC